AACTTCTTAGAATTATAATCTTTAAGTGATTTTGGCACAGATTTTTGACGCCTAGACAAGTCGCACCAATTCACACCAGTTTACACCAGCAGCAGCGGTGTCTGCCCGTGTTTGCTCTTACAAATAGAATGTTACAGACCTCACGTGTCTTAGTTTGACAGTCCAGCTTAACTGTCGGTTCTACTTGCACGAAGCATCTCTTTCCATGCCTTTGCTTTCAGTGTATTCTCATGATGTGGGATGAGTGCAGGGTCCTCCAGATTCCTTTGAGAATGAATTCAACAAAGTCACCTGAAGTAGTCCATGCTCACTTATTTCTGAAATGTCTCCTGTGTATGGTCTCCTTGAGCCAGAGGCACAGGTTTCCTTAGGAGAAATCAGAGACTGCATTGTAGGGCTGAAGAGCCAGCCCCTGTAGGTTCCCCGGGGGGATCGCAAAAGATGCACCCACCACACGTCATTAAAAATCCAAGTCTTCGTTGACCTACGTAGTAAAAACCGAAAATCTCATGTTCAAATATGGAGACTTTCATTGCATGCATTTCCTTATTACATTCTTAAAAGGCTGTTCACTGCTGTGTGTGGGTCTCTGCAGCTCGCCCCATCTTCTGTTGGGCTTCTGGTATTAATGATTTTTGAGGACCGAGAGAAATGAAATACAGTACTTGCAATTCTGTTAGAGATGCTGAAAATACCCTTACAATTTGTTCTTTTCATCTGTAGCTTGACTTCTGGTATTTTCTTTCTCTCAGAAGTTCTCGACTTGGGGGCGACCTAGCAGGCATTCCTTCCCGCCAGGATGACCCGCTTGTTAAGGTGACCGCTTCTCAGACTGGGCTGTCCAGGTGACTTTCCCAGTTGCTGAACACAGAGCAGGGGCTGGGTAAAGGGGAGACCCGGGCTGCTTTGCTCTGCGGATTGTAGAAGAGTGGGGAGAAGCACCCATACACTAGCGGCCCGCTGTCACCACCTGGAGAACAAAAAGTGCCAAAGCCAGTTCTGGGCTTCTCCTGCCAGGGGATGTGGGGTGACGGCAGTTTCTCCCAGAACCCAGCCCAGCGGTGGGGCTCACCGCGGCAGGAAGCTCGCGCCCAAGGGCCCCAGCCAGCCCCGGCACGGCTGCCTCTCCAGGACAGCCTGGCTGGGCTCCCCTCCCACGGGGGCTGTCGTGGCTCAGGCTTTTACAACTCTCCAGCCTGTTCCAAGGAGCTTTTGTGGTTTAAATCAATGTGCTTCTGGGAATAAGTGCCTTATTATTCCTCGCTGGGTTATTTGCTGTTCTCTTCCGCCGCTGTGACATCACACCCTTCATGCTGCTGCACAATAGTGGGCCTTTCAGGAATCTCCCAGAGCTGTCTAATCAGACCCACACCCCAGGCCCTAGGGAGCCGCCGGAGCCTGCCAGGATGCCGGGCTCACCTTGGCCACCAAGGAGCCCGACCCAGGGCCAACTCCTCAGAGGCAGCAGGGCTTGCTTGACCTTGGCCTCTGGTCTGGGGCGCACCCTCTGCTGCTAGGGAATGGCCGGGACTGCCGGGCCTTTTGCAGCCCATGCTCCCCAGAGCAGCGAGCGAATGCCAGAGGACGAGAACTGGAAACACGCAGTTCGGAGTTTATATCCGGTGCTCAGAGGCGAGGCTCCCAGGGCCAGGCCACATTAATGCCAGATCATTGGAAACTGAGTTTGGCATAAAGTCATTACACTTGGTGGATGGCCTACTATGTACTTGATGGATGGCCTACTGTGTGCCAGCCATCAGGCAGGACACCGGGAACACACAGATCAGCTCCAGTCCCCCTTTGATGCTCACGTCCAGCGAGGAGACAGACAGATGAGCAGGGTGACAGAAGTGGCTGGGTGGACCAGGAGGTGCTCTGGGTTTCCAGGAGATCCCTTGGGAGAGGACTTGTGACCCAGGGATGACTGTCCTGGGATTTGGGGAACAATGAGAACGGTCAAAAGTGGCCATGACACCCACTCACTGTTCTACCTTGCTGCTATTTTTATAGCCAGAACCCATTCCTTTTTATTCTCAGTATCTTGATGGGGAGGTTGTTTTCTGTCTGCCTTATGACCCAAACCTTTTCTCCCCGGGTGGGTGACCAAGGACAGAATATGTAGCAGGGATGCCCCAAAGGCAAGCCAGGCTAACCTCCCTGCACTATAGGCACCCCGGCCATTCAGGGGACTCGTCTTCTTTTAAGTGTGGCAAAAACATGACCATGGGTGGCCCCTGTGGTCACCTGTGCTGGCCTAGCCACCCATAGGACAGTCTCTTGGCCTGAAGCTTGGACTGGGGGCCATAGGGGAGAGCCACATCCAAATGGCTTAGCCAATGACCCGCCTGGGGTGGCCACCCGTGGGTCTGGCCTGCAGCTGGCCCCTCTCCGCTATACCACTCTTGGTCTCCTGCTTCCCACCCCAGCTGCCCACAGTGTCATCTAGCAGTGCTGCAGGGGCCTCCTCCAGCAGTGGGAAGAAAGTGCCTCGTTCTGCTCAAGCCCCAGCCCATGGTGGCTCCGGGACTGCAGAGTCCACGGCGGGCATTCCTCTGGTCACTTTCTCAAGAGCCCTGGTCCCTGGCCCCACCACCTGCGCAATGCTCAGAGGCCAGCCTTGGACAGGGCCACCATCATGCTCAGGATGAGCAGAGGGGCACGACTTGCTATCCCCAAGGTGAGCGGTGGTCAGTGGGCTCCCCAAAGGGACAGGACTAGGTGGCAGTCAGCGCGCAGAGGCTATTGGGTGGGCTGCAGGGTTCTTCTCTTCATAGGAGAGGGATACTAGCCACAACATACCCACCTTTGTGCTGACCCTGGGGCCAGGCAACCCAGTGGGTCCCCATGGTGTGGCATATGGGGTGGGGGCTGATGCACACGCCTGGAAAGCCAGGAGGAGTCGGGGACATGCTGCCTCTTGTCTGTCGGAGAGTGCCCAGAATGCTGGGGCCACCTCCAGCGGGGTCTGCTGGGAGGTACAATGGGACTGCCAGGCCGGCATCTGATCACTGCACAGCATCTTGTCAATGGGGTGAATTCAGGCTGAACCCAGTGGGAGTAACAGTTTGGGCCCTGAGGGGTAACTTGGGAAAACAGGATCTTCCAGGAAGACAGAGGTGGCTGTGCTGAAGCCATAGACTGTTGCAGGTGGTGCCCCCTAGAGTGGGTTGTTGGGGAGGATAGATAGCCCCAGAGAAAATGCTAAAAAGTATCGCATTTTTGGGAATGGCGCTGCGGATAAGTAATATAAGGGCCTGCAGAAGGGGGAGCTGATTTATTTAGTTTTCTCGATTCAGAGGTTTTCCATCTTCAGCATTTGGGGTCGGTGGATTTCGGCCCCCACCACACCCATCTTCCAGAAGGCTGTTGGGGGCCTTTGAACGTGAAGAGGCCTCCAGCAGCCAACCTCAGAGATGGCAAGTTCAGAGGCTTTGCAAGTGGCCAAGTGACTGAAACTGTTTTTGGTCTCACTGCTGGTACAGCCTGGCAGGGAAGGTGAAGACCCAGAGCTGGGGCTACGCTGAGCTGCCTGAGGTGTGGCCATCTGTTGGGTTGTTCAGCCGCTGCAGCTGCTGTCTTGAGTGTCATTTGTCTGGTGCTGCACTGGGGCATCCCAGCAGCTCCGGGAACATCTCCTGTTGCGTCTTCTGCTGTCTGCATGAGTCAGAACCTGGCCTATAGTCTGGTTGCCATGTGTCCACAGTGGCGGGAAGATGCCATCTTAGCTCCTTTAGTTTTAGGACTGAAAAACACTGGACACTGCTTCGGGTGAGGTAAAGGCCATTTTTAGCCTCAGTAACTTTTTTCCCCTGGCTTGTTAAATAAATCCCATCGTTGTTGTCCCCTGAGCCTGAGTGGTCTTGTAATTGTGCGCACAGGTGAAGAACTCAGTGAATGGCAAACTATTTGGGCATGTCCTTGGCCCGTTTTAGTGCCCCTTGCTGCCCTGTATTAGGGTGATGGGTGGGACCAGAGGAGGAAGCATCGGAAGACAGGCCTCCTTCCTCAAAAGCAGGCCAGCTCCTCGCCCCGCCTGACACTGTCTCACACGCCAGGCGCAGGGGAGGTGAGAGAAGACCTAACCTTGTCACTTCCCACTTTCTCAGCTGCTGCTGGCCCTGCTGGGGGTGCCCTGGAGGCACCCCCTTCGGTCGCCTCCCTGCTGGCCTGGTTGTGGGCACTTGCTGGCACAGTCATGCAGGAGTTATTTATATCCACAGCTGCACCACCCAGTTCTCTCTCTGAGGGTGTTTGATAGGGAAGAGGGCCACACCCTATCTCCCAGCAGAGCCCTGGCTGGGGCGCTGAGGCCCACGCCCGCCCTCACCTCCCGTGGCTGACCCTCACCAGTAGAGGCCAGAGGCGTTTCCACAGCCGACACCTCCTTTCTCTGGCACTTGATTCTCACAGCTGTCAGAGTCCTTCCTCACACCCAGCCTCAACTTCTCCAGCACTTTGCAGTCTCCTTGCTGCATGTTCATGTTGAGGGGGAGAGCAACTCCCCAAGCCCTTGTCAGGAGGGCCTCTGAATCACTGGGGATGTGGGCCCACAGGTGGCACCGTCACAGCTCAGAAGGCGGACAGGGAAGCCAGGGCTGGGGCTCCCCACACTGAGCCACCTTCTCCCTCAGGGGCTCAAGCCTGGGACTAAGGCCTGAGAGTCAGAAATCTCCCCTGCTAACCCCCAGAAATTTCTGTCCCTTTAGCATCTCAAATCACATTTTCAAAGTGGAGGTGACCTGATATCAGTTTCTTGAGGATCACGTTTCTTCCCTGCTGTCCTGGGCTGCAGCCCACCTGGCCACTCCGAGGCAGACGGCTGCTGACATCTGGGAGGCCCCTGGCCCACAGCAGGCCTAGGTCGGCTGTTCTAGTTCATCTTCGTGCTTTGACAGGACGGGGGCGGCCCCGCGGCATAGATGGGGAAACCAAGACCCAGGGTCCAGCTGGGGGCGATGTGGGCGCAGCCGAGGGGGCTGTGCGTCCCCACTAATGGGACATGGTGACTGCAGCACCCCGTGCCAAGTCTGAGGGTCACAGGTGAGTTGGGTACTCATGCGGCACAATCATGGCAGGTCGGCATGGATGGTGCAGGGCAGGCTGGTAGGCATCGGCGCCCACGTGTCGGGTCTGGGCCAGTGTTTTGATGGGAGCCCCTGCCCAAGGGCTCAAGCAGGAGGTCCCGATCTCCAAGCGGGCTAAGGAGGGAGATGAGGAAAAGCGTGCTGCAGTGATGGGCGGTGCTCAGGCCCGTCCCAAAGGCCTCACAGTGCTGGCTGTCCTAGCCGGTACTACCCAAGCCCGTGCCTTTCCTCACAGGGAAAGCACCAAGGAAGCTCAGTCCCCCCTAGCACTCAAGGTTGGGGGATTGGTCCAAGGCTCCCCTTCCGGGTCTGTGCCAAACAAGGGGTGGCTGTGGGTTGAGCAGCGTGTCCATCCCCATCCATGCCCGTGTGCCCATAGCCAGCACGCTGTGTGTTTACCAAATAGCTGTGCAGGAATATAAAGGTCACCTGTTTTTAAAATTGTGCCCTCACTAGCGGTGCCATGGGCCAGGGCCCCAGAAATCTGTGCGGGTTCCCTGATTTCTGCCCACGCAAATGCTGCTGATGGGGTTCAGAGCCTGTGGGGTCAGCTGAGCCTCCAGGCCAGCATGGGGCGGGGGTATGAGTTGCCCAGGACAGAGTCCAGATGTACTTGCTCAGAGACCCTTCCAGGCTCTCAGCTTCCTTCACCCCCAGAGACACCCCATCACCCCCAGGAACAGCACAACCACCAAGGCGAGCAATCAACTGTCGCTGTAAGTGAGTCCAAGGGCCTTGCACATGCTGACTGCATATTAACTCACCTAAGCCCCTGCCCCAAGCACTAAGACAGCAAGAGTAAGGAGCCTGCCCACGGCCACAGCCAGGCAGCGTGGCCACAGGTGCCGGGCCACCTGCTCTCCGGTGACTACACCCAGAAATTGCCGCGTCTTCTAGCAAGGCTGAGCCCTCCACTGTCGGGGGACACGCTCAGTTCATGTCAGTATGTTTCTTCCTTGCATCCTTCCTTGACTAGTACTGTATTTTCTTTTCACGCATCCAAGTTGAAATTATAAACACAGACACTGAAATAATTATTTAAGAGTGGAGGCCCGAAATGGAGGCCTTACACCAAATGTCAGCGCTCTGACCCTGGGTGGAGCAGAAAGAATGCAGTGAAATGCTGTTTCACTTCAGAGCTGGTTCATGCTTGAACTCCTCAGCTGTTTGCACTGGAGTCATCCTTTCCAAGAAGGCACCAAGGACGCTAGTGCCACCAAGGCAGGGCTTACAACCCCAGAGCAGCAGCCTGCGTGTGAAGAACATAAAACTTGGAAAGGTCTCGAAGGTAATTAGGGGAACTGGAAGCTACGAGACATGTTTCTTTTCTGGAGAATTCTACCTTGAAATAGCCCCAGAAACCGGACATTTGCACAAGATTTCATTCTGAAAACAGTCAATTAAGAAAGTCTCTCCAGGTCCCTGAGAACCTTTTGGTCTTTTGTCTTTCAGTCACCAGACAATTACTCAGCAGCATGAGCCCTCGTTCAGTCTGGTCTGGTCACTTAACAGACAGAGGAGTGAGGGCAGAGAAGCCCCAGGTCCGGGGCCAACCCATCAGCACCACAGTGGACCTCAAGGCCTGACTTAGCTCTTTCCATGCCTGGCCAAGGGGTCGAGGACTCACTGACAATCCTCCGGGAGCACGCATGCCCAGACGCCAGCAGGATGGGCACACCCGGGAGGACAGGGCACACACAGGCTGTGTCCGAGATGTCCCCGGGCGTGGAGGGTGTTCTGGTTGCTGGTAGGAGATGGTGCAGTGCTGAGGAGAGCACATGAAGACAAGCAAACCTGTAGGGCCCCAGTTGCCTGCCACTCCTCACTAGAAGTCACATGGGAAGAAAAAAATGTTTCTCCTCTAAACTCTACCACCCCTTTGTGCCCATGTCAACTTTGAAGAGAAAGTGGCAAAACATTGACAAAGAAACATTTATTTCAAAAGGAAACTTCTGGAGACTACTGTCTTCTGTGAGGAGCTGCTCCTGCCCCAGTCGCCTCAGGGTCTGTGGGTCTCTGCCCTCGGATATGAGACGTGTGGCCACAGCTGAGAGGGGCCCAAAGCAGGAGTGCCATGAAGTCCCATCCAGGGAACGTGTGAGGCCAGCGAGCGCCGTCACCGATACCATGCGATGACTTCACCAGCACCCAGGTCTAGAAGGGGTTTCTGGTCAACCGGGAAATGTCTATCCTGAGCACCCCAATAGCAAGGCTGTGCCTAGGGCTGCTGTTTCCAGACAAAGCAGCCCGCATTACATAACATGCCAAACCAGAGCTGCCAAGGGAAAGGCCTGCTGTCCTGGGTCAAAACACAAGCGAAACATTAGACAGGAGTGAATTTTTTTCACCCTTAGAAACAATGTAAAGTCTGCATTACACACAGTCACTCACACAGTAGGGAAAACAGATGATTAACGTCTAACCTGTCCATGGAACTATTAGCTGCCTTTCAGGTCAATTAAATACTAAAACAATAAACGAAGCTGGTGCAGAAGAGACAGGTAAGTGGTCCAAGCAGCACTGTGGGTGTCTCCACCCTACCAGACCCCAAGCTCGGGCCTAGGAGGCCACGGCAGCTCTGTGCCCCCCAGGTGGAATCCAAGGGGCGCTGTGGCCAGAGGCCTGTGTCAGGAGGCAAGAGGCTCTGGCAGGTGGAGCAGCAGACAGAGCTCCGCTGGGCATTCCCAAGTCTGTGAGGTTCCTCGAATGGAAAGACTCAGCAGGAACAACATGACCACAGAAATGCCGGGTACGCAAGGCCAGTGAGCTGGGTTTAAGAACAAGGAAACAAACATTTCTGCTAGGAACCCAGCTATTTCTCAAAATAAATTACCAAGAGAGCCCCGTTTCCCAGCCCATCACCCCACAGGAACCAGAGAACATGGTGGCTAGAAGCGAGTGTAGGCAGTGCGCGGCTGCGGCTGCGCGGGCTGCTGGGCCTGCTGCTGCTGCAGGCGGAGCTGCTGGGAGTAGGGGTCCTCCAGCGACTTCACAAAGACGGTGGTCCTGGGGCCGGTCTTCCAGATGGTACCGTTGGCGTCTCTCACAGAGGATTCCACCGTGACGGCATGCGTCCCAAGGACAGCAAAGTTGAGCAGAAACTGAGTGCTGAAGTAGTCGTTGTGGGGCTCCACCCTCTGCTCCATCTCGTTGGCCACATTGTCGAGGGGCATCTGTGGGTCGTGACAAGGCTGGTCAGCTGGGGCTGCATGCTGACCCTGAGGCAGTGCTTCCTACCCTTTCCTTACAGATGAGGAGAGGAGGTGTAAAGGTGGTCACGCAGCTGGCAGGAGGCGGAACTGGAAGCTGAGCCAGGTGGATTTCCAGGGCCCAGACCACCGGTCACCAAGCCAGGTTGCCCCACACTTCCTCACCCCTTCACCTACCACCTTTCCCCCCATGAAGGAGGCACCCCCACTCCCAAGTATGCTGCTGTGGCACAATTATTTTGAGCTAAAGGCACTTGAGAAAGAGCAGATGCAGGAGGGTCTGGCTCTCCCTTCCCCTAAAGTAGGCCACACAATTTCCCAGGAAGAGGGGTCTTCCCTCTCACCTGAGCCAGGGATGGGCACTGAGATGACCCCTGCAAACAGCTGCTCACCCACGGGTCTCCCCACCACCCCCTGCTCACTTCCCCAGAGCCCTGACCTGTCTCCTCATTTCCTCACAAAGTGACCCTTTGTGTCAAAGCCACAAGCTGCTGCCCTGGCCACCTCTCCAGTCTGCCTGCAATTTTGATGCATCCACACTTACTCTATCAACGTGCCTCAGTATCAGTGCAACCTCAGGCCCAGGGGCAGAGAAATACTGCCTTCCCTACTGCTTCCTGGGCACTAACACCAACCCTGCCTCTCTCTCACATCTGTGTAGAGAAATTCAGAAGAAACTGTCTGTTACAGGCAGTTTAAAATCTAGGAGATTGAAAAAGGAACACCGCACCAAGCAACCTAAGACGGACTTCTTCCAGTGTGCCAGTCCGACTTTGCATCATGTCACATGCGGACACTCCTCCCTGACAAGCAGACTCCAGAGCACCCCAAGCGCAGCCCGCACCCCGTCAAGGCCAGCACACAGCATGTTTGTGGTACAGACTGGCGGCTCCACCCATTTATCCTGCAGGACACTAGGGCCTCTGTCCTCCACGGAGCAGAGTGAAGGCTGCCAGCACCCCTCACCCGGGCCCAGGTTACATGTCAGAAGGGAGGCTGCAGAGCACAGGGGCCTCCAATCAGGGGTCCAATCAGGGAAATGGACCCTCTGCTAGTCGTCAACTTCCCGGCAGCCCCCCTCCGAGATATCCACCTGCAACACGAAGCCCCACCAGCTTGGGATCCGACTACAGACCTTTCTCAGGTGTGTCTGCGTGCTCAGCCTCTGCAGGGCTTTATTCCCCCAAGAACACGTCTCACCAACAACAGCTACCTTGGGAGGAGGAGCCGCAAGCCAAGGCCGCCTGACCAATGTGCAGCTGAGATGCGCTGTGCCACCCATTGAACAGCCAGGCCACGTGACCTACTCTGGTGGTTTCTGGACCCGAGTCACAGCCTCAGGAGAGGCAAGCCCAGGTGGCTCCATCTGAAAGCCCCAGAAAATGGGAATCATGAAGCCGAGGGGCCAAGAGGACCCCGGCCACGTTCTCTCATGCGCCAGGTGAGGAGCAAGGAGCTGCCGTCTCCCGGGACATGGAGACAGGCCAGATGTCACCGCCATGGCAGATGAATCTCACAACCATCCCCAGCTGCTCACTGGGGCCACAGATGGCACTGCACATGCGTCATGGGAGGGGAGAAGAGAGAAGGCGCATCCCTGAGAGTGGGCGAGAGGGCCAGAGCGTCAGGAGGTAAAGGAATTAACAAAGACTGATGCACAACTGCCCTGGCTATTAGCTGAGCCAGCGAAAGTCGCACCCCTGTGTTATGTCCTCCATGACACCCCTTTCCTCGCTGCAGACCTCAGCCCCCGCTGCCCACGTTACACCTGGACAGAACCAGTCTGGACATCTGACCAACTGTCCACGCAACTCTGTCCATGCTCCTCTGTTGCCTCCACTGTGAACAAACCATCAGGAGAGACGGCGGAAGGAGAGAGACTCCTCTGTCTGCGCTCTGGGGGCTCAAGGACACGATCTAGAGGCTGCTTCTGGGCAAAGAAGGGTGCTTAAGTCTGGGCACCCCACGTCATCTCAGAGCAGCAAACCTCTACCCTCAGGAAGGGTTTTACTCTACTTGACCACAGTGTGTTAACACTATGGACTTTTGGAAAATGCTAAAATTTACCTAAAACAGAATAAATTAAGACGTGTGATTTAGGGGCAAGGGGCTGGGGAGACGTTGATCCCCCACTCCTGACGTGTCCCTCTAGGCGATCCCTAGGGGGAAGAGAATCCTACTGGTTGGTGAATTTCAGGGCTAGAAGAGGGCCCGGCCCAGGGAGCATTGGGGGCTCCTCCCTCCACCAGCTGCCATGGTAGGTTCTGCGTACACGAGCTGCGGCAGGGAGGCAAAGTTCAATTTAGAGGTTCAAGGCCAGGGACCTGGCTGGCCTTCCCTCTCACCCAACGTGCAATGGCACCGGAGTGGAGGCTGCCTGTCCCCACCGCCAGTGGTTCAGGCAGGGTTAAGCCAATGGTGTGTATCAGCCCCCCAATTCCAGTGTGTGCTTCTAACAGGTGTCCATCCGCTCCCTGGGAAGGGGTAGTGCAACATACTCAGCCCAGAAAATGCCCATCAGGGAGCCGGTACTTGGTGGCACAGCCTGCCTGTCTTGACCCACCTTGTAGTCTGGTCCACATTTACTCTGCAGAGTGGAAGAAACATTCAGGCAGACAGACTGGATTCTGCGGAAGAGCCCAGGTTTGGCGCCATGTTGAACCACGCCCTCCACCTTTAGTGCCAGCTGCTGGTTGTTCTGGACAGCGATGGGCTCAGCCGGGTTCCGGGGGGATGGGGACAGTGCAAGCTGGAAAGTGACAGGAACATAAATGCTGATAGCTGGGACAGGCCTCCTGCCAACAATCATGGCTGAGCTGACCACTGCTTACAGGCTGATGTCACATCACGCTCACGTGCCCCCCCAGCCCCCATGCCCCTCCACAGACACCCACATGCCACACACGGACCTTTTAATACTCCCATACCTCTAAAAGCAAAGACACGCTCTCCCAGCTGTGGGGCTGGGGGGGAGTGTCTGACATGGCCCCCCTCCCCCACCCTCCATCCAGCAGGGAAACACACTATGTAAATGCTCACGTCCAACTGCTGTTTCTCTGATCATAGGTAATTTTAAATAGATTAAAGTCACGTGCAAATAAACTTTAAATGCCAGGAATGCATATAACTTCATGTCCACAAATGAACCACGTAACATTTTTAACCTCTTACTGGTTTTCCTTTTAAGGTATTAAAAATCCCAAATAATCCCCATTTCAGAAAACTCCAGTCTTCCTAAACAGAACATGGAAGCAGCTGGGTCGTGCTGATAATGGCAAGTCACTGGACTGTCAGCTCTGAAGACTTCCCACTCCAGGCCTGTGTGTCCAGACGGCCAGTCCTCTGTGGCCCTAAGAAATGAAATGCTTTGCTCTTTGCGACCTGAAGCATTTAAGTGGGATGCAACAGAGCAGGCAGACACCTATGTCAGGGACTCTCCAGAGACGTCCAAAGTGACAACCTCCCATCCCCATAATTCTAAAAGTAGCTTCTGACTTTTGAGTGGCATAACATTTTGAAATATGGGGTTGTTGGAAAAGTCATGACGTGTTTGTTGGTTTTCAAAGGTCACTTAGTTATATGAAGAACAAGATCAATAATAATACAGTGCCCATTTTGTTCAGTAACCTTTTGCCATCTCTCAGTGTGCTCCATCATTCCTCATTCATAGAAGGGCCCATCTTAATCGGCAAAAAACTGAACGAGGTGCTGATTTACAGCCTCATCTTAACTGAACGTTATACTGCGCAAGGAGTTCTGAAGAGAGTGAAACAAGGGGCAGGCTGGCAGCCAAGGTCAGGCGAGCATCGGGGAGGTGGCAATACGTCCCACCCAAACTCCAGTAGCTTCGGACAGGTGATCAGACTTGTGTGTGGTCTCGTCATGTCATGCTGGAACATAACTTCTTTGTGATTAACAAGCTCTGGATGTTTCTGGATGATGGAATCGTTCAAACTATGCAACTGTCAACAGTCCACATCCGAATTACTTGGTTCCTTGGCAGGAGCTAGAAAACCACAGCACCTTTAGAATCCCACCACAGTGAGAGCATGACCTTCCTCTGAGGAACGTCTGCTTTCGATGTCGTTTGAGGGGAACTATCAGGTTGGGACCAAGACGGTTTGCGCACCAGTGTTGTGAACAACCCACGCCTTATCACCAGTTATCAGTTGTTTCAAGAAAGGAGCATTTTCCTCACATTTAGTGAGTATACTGCAGGTGCCGCCAAGTGAACTATGAGTTCACGAGGAACCCAAATATCAAGCTTGCTTACACACCCCAGCTATTTCAGGGGGTCATGAACACTTGGGTGACGGATGGTCAATGTTTCTGCAATCTCTTGTACAGGGTAATGTGGGTTTGACTCGATCTAGGCCTTTATTTTGTCATCATTGACCTCAGTGGGTCTCCCCGACCGAGGAGTGTCTCTGAGGAGCATGAGTTTTGTGAACCACCACTGTAGCAAACTGCGCAGTTTTCACAAGCTTGATGCACAGTCTTCCCTTTCCAGAAGTAAGAGTAAAATATGGTGAAAGTGCAGTTTGGGCTTCCATCTTCAACTGTAGAATCTCCAAAACACAACCAAATCCCTCAATTTTTATTTAGAACGAAACCAGAAGTGTCAACTGTCAAGTGAGCAGCAATAACATAAGTGTGGATGGCCCCAGGACTTCCAAAAATGAACTAACTAGTGCCGTGTGTTGCAAAAAACGCGTCATGACTTTTCCAACAGCAATAACTCCTCTTCAGTTAGCTCCTCAGCATTAAAGACAAAAGTTCTTCAGAGCTAGGACTGGACCACTTTGATTCTATGTAGGGTGTGAACAGGCTAGTCAGATAAGGACTTGGCTTTGGAGGCCTGTGGCCTACGTAGCTGGCCCCTGAGCTGAGGCCAGTGCTGCATGGCCTGTGTGCCAAGCTGGCTGAGGAGGGAGGGAGGGTGAGCTCCAAGTCCCATTTCCCTCACTAAACTCTCGTACTGGGAGGGGAAGTTCACAACTACGTGCTGTCAGCCTCAGCAAGACCCAAAAGTAAGACCCTGAAGCAGAGTGCAGTCCCCCTCTAGACTCAGGAGACATGGAGTTTTAATCTACATTAATCTTAGAGGGCTTATATTACCTTGATGCTGGTAGATTGCAGTTTCTGGAAAAAATATCTTTGAAATGAAAGAGGAACTTTCAACAAAGCAATGATGGCGTTGCACAGGCAAGCTGTGTGCTGGGGGAAAAGAAAACACAATCAAATGAAAATAAACCTCCAAATTTCATCAATAAATGGTTCTCTCAAGAACTCTAAGAATGACAAAAGCTCACACATGATTGCAACTTGGCACCTACCACAGGAACCGGCAGAGCACCCAGAGTGGTGCCCACTTGCCAAATCATTTGCATCTAGAGCACAATCACAGCATCTGACTTTATGGTAAAGACTGTTCATACAGAGTAAGGAAGAGAAGGGAGGAAATTCCCTTTCCTCAAGGCTAAGCAATGGGCCAGTTTTCACTGCTACAGAGCTCAGTTACCGGACGTATTATTACGTAAGCACTTGGGGTGCTCACATGCAGCCCAGGCAGATGGCAAAGTGTGAGAAAGAGGAAGGAGAGAAGCCAGAGCGGAGCCGCACGCCACCTGGGCCGCCAGCTCTGGGCTGCTCCTTTCACCCACCCCACGCGGTGGCTTGAGCAACGGGGACCTGTCATGGAATCAGGTTAAGCATGTCCACAGCGCCCAACTCCAGGGATTGAGACCCCGGATTTCTAAACCAGGTTCCTGCGCTTCACTAGCTTTGGAAACGCCTGCCTGGCTGCAAGGGAATCCTTCAAGTCGGGGGACGTGGCCTGGAGAGTTCAAAGATCCTTGGTTTACTTGTTTCTTAAGACCACGTGGCCAAGGGCAGACCCATACACGAAAGGCCTAATACGGACTGAGCACAAGTTGATAAGCTTGGAGAAAAGGCCACACCCGAGAAACCCACATGAAGTCTAAGGACCAGCAGTCAAGCCCCATAGCCGACTCAGCACAGATGGGGATGGAGCCGGGCCTTGTCAGCTCACGCTCACTGCGGGGGTGTTCTATTTCTCCACTAAAACAACAAAAATGCTATCAGAACACTGAGAGCCTGGGGTGGTCAGTGCCACCCCCTCCTCATCCACATCCTCCCAGCGGCCCACAGGAGGTCCTCACGTGGGGCCTGTCCTCAAGGCGCCTGTGCTCAGGCAGATGCCCACGGCGGGCACTGAGGCTAAGCACCAGGAGAACCTGCTCCTCCTGGCTTCAGGTCAGAGACGGGAGGGCAGGGGTCCTGCCAGGAGGCCAACACCCGTCAGGCCACATCGGAGGACTTCAGCTCTGCCCATCTGTGCCCACTTCCACTCTTCTCCCTTGAAATCCCTTTGGGGCAGGGCAGCCCATGCTCCTCATGGGCAACTGCCTTCCCCCAAGACTTGAAGAACCCCCACACTCATGATGGATTCACAGGCAGGCACCCCACTCGTCCACACCACTACCCAGATGCCACATGGTCATTGAAGCCTCCCCTGCTCTGGGCAGAGGCTCAGCTACCGTGTGTTTGGCAGGCAGCCCAAAACCTGGAGGCCATATCTCCACCCTACACAGCTGCTTCTAAGAAACCACCACCAAGCCCTCGAGTATTGCCCTTGACTGTCTTTCCCAGCAGCCGCTCTCCTGCCTCCACAAGTGAATGCTGCCCTGACCTCGAGCAGTTGCACCAGCCTGCACCCCTGTTCTCCTCTAATTCCAAGCCCTCTTAATCCACGCCCCATCTTGCTCCTGCGTGACAATGACGCAGTCTTGCGTAACCTGTCCTCTCCCCACCAGTCACCATTCTTTCAATATGTGAGGACATGGTGAGGCGGCAGGAGCTGCGGGCCACCAGCCTCCAAGGCTGTGAGGACTCACGTCCATGGTTATGTCGCCCAGACTAAGTGTTTTGCTAGGGGGTCCTGAGTGCACCCAGACACAGGGGATAGCCAGACGCATGGGAGAGCCTCTGGGTGCAGGGAGGTGAGCAACCGGCCCCTTGGGAGGCGACTGAGGGAGAACGAGCCTCTGCCAGAGCGCGCCAATGTGGGCAGCAGCTGAGGCTGGATGAGTTCTCTCTGCTCCCACCAGGCAAGGGTTCTCCGCCATGGGGGCATGGCAGGATCACCCAGAAGCTTTGAAAACTAGAGGAGACAGGAGAGGCGAACTCGCTTGACCAAGTGATGGAGACACACATGCCCACCTGCACGCAGTGAAAGCTCAGCATAACAGAACACCACTTGCCATGTAAGAGACGGGGCTGTACTTCCGGCCGAGAGATTCCACCTCCTCCAAGATGCGGTTGTACACAGACATCATTCTCCGCTCATATTCACTGTCGGCGGGGGCGGCTCCAGTGGGCCCACACTCCTGGAAGCTGAAGCCAAAGTCAGTCAACCCATCTAGTCATCAAAACAGGAATTTCACCGTCTAATGGTGTTAAGCACACTCTACAGTCTCGTTTAACCTTAACACAATGGAGGAGGAGCTGTACATCTCTTCTACAGATAAAACTGAGGCTGGAGAGGTAAAGTCACTTGGCTTCTGTCACATAAGTAGTAAGAGAAAGGCTGGAATTGAAGCCAGACCTGACCTCAGATTACTAAGCCTCAATCACTCTGGTTGTCAGGAGGCATAAATCTTGTCCTTGCCCTGAGACAAAAGACCTGAGACTTGAAAAGGCAATAGTCCATAAAGCCACTTCACGTCTAGGGCAAATGAACACAGAGGGTGGGATAAACAAAAAAGTCAAAATTCACATGTGGGAAAATACTAAGATTGATCAGATGGTGGAAAATGTGCCAAGCAGCCTGCCCTGGGCAGGTGGCCCTTGAAGACAGAAGGCCAGGACCCCAGTGTCCCCCTAGAAGACTGGAACCAGGATTCAGGGTGGAGAAAACCAAATGCTTCTCACAGACGATGTCCTCTCTGAGGAAGATGATTTTGGATGCACAGGCCTGACCACACCAGAAGCTAAAGATAGTTATAGATGGCTGCCACAAAACAGAAGACTCCAACGGGAAAACAGACCACTTTTTAAAAGACATTTTGAATCATCAGTTAATGGGGGAGGGGATAATTTTAATAAAGCAAAACAAAGTTTTTTTTGTTCAGAAAACCAAGAAATAAAAATTTCAAGTTTAAGCTTAATTCCTTCATTAGCATTTTTATATAAAAGTCAGCTGTAACACACAAGAAGAAAATGTTCAAATTCAAAACATTTCTAGGTCAGAAAGACCAACATTTTATCCCTCAGTTACGTGACCCCAGGCCCAGGCTTCCACGTCAGTGCTGTGCTGAGTTGGTAGAAAACATATTTGAAAGCGTTCTGTAAGGCAAACTATTATTAGAAATACCTTACTGAGTCTGGATCCAAAATCAGGGCTTCGATTGCGTGGGATATCAGCAAGCAGCTCTGCTGCTGTCTGGACTCAGGCTAAGGTCACACAGGAGAACAGAAACTGGTCTGGAGTGAGAACGAGGGTCGTCGTGTGGTAACGAGAGCCACCACACTATCAAGACAGAAGGTCCCAGGCTCTGTCTTTCCCTTCCAGGGGTCTATATAGTCTGTGATACTGATTCTCAAACTCTGTTTTAGGAAGGGCACCTTGGAGGCAGGGAACATCCCAGCCATGGGAAGGGACTAGGTAACAGGTGTGGGAGTTAGCCATCTGATCTGTCGCATATAAAGGGGCTTTACTGAAAAAAGTTAAAAACATTGGCTACCATGGTCTGAGAGACGGTAGCCCCAAGGTTCCCAAGCCAGGCTTGAGGGGCAGGAGCCTCCAGAGACTGCACACACTTTAAGAGACTGTTTCCAAAGAACAGGAAGTCCCAGGGCAAGCTTAGGATACAGCTCGACATTCCTCAAAGTTGCAGAGTCAGCATCAAAAGACGCCTGATAAAGATCCCCGTATCGGGAAGCAAGGTTCCGGAACTCTTCCATGGACTGTTTCATCTGAGAACAAAGGAAAAAGGTCCATGATGATAAGCAGACAGGCCATCATTACAGTACAAGCAACACAAAAATCAACATGTAGAAACTCCACCTTCAGACAGAAAAATGCATAAAGTATTTCAACTTTTAAAATTTCCATTACATTCATTTTTATAAGCCTTGTTAGATAAAATTAACAAAGGTGGAAAGGAGCCAGTAAGTGTGCGCAGAATAATCACGTGTGCGACACATGGGAACATCATGCTCAGCTGCTTCATGAGGCATGACAGTAACTGCTGAGCTGTAAATATCCCTGAGTCTCTCTACAATGCATGTCCTTTCTTGTTACACAAATCTGTAGCATCTACTGAGACATCATTGATCATTTTGCTGTCCTAACAGCATCGGCCTATTTTGGACAAGTCAGATGACTTAATAAGCCTTTGGTGTTTCCTGTCCATGAGTCAAACAGGAGAGTTTTAAATTTCAGAATTTTTCATCTCACAATTAATCTCAAAAACCTCTAAAATGGAAGGAAAAACTGCACAGAAAAGAAAGTTCGGTCGCACCTGGTTGGAGATGCGACCACAGCGCTGAAGGTCGTTCCCCAAGGTCATGGCAATCGTGGTGGCGATGGCAGGCGGGGGGCTCGTCTTCAAGCTGTTACACGTGCAGATGAGCTGAGAGAAGGCTTGCAGGAGGTCAATCCTGAGCTTCACGAACTCACACTGGAAACTTAAAGGGTTCAGTGGTGTGCTGGCAGCCTGGGGAACAGATGACGTAAGACATCTGAGAGCAGCAAAATGACATGGCACTCAGTGTCCTGTCCAGGGGGAGCAGCGGCTCTAACGCAGATAGAGAAGCACCTGCTCACAGGGCACACAGGGAGCAACAGGAAGGGACTTATTAGCATTGGCGTCAAGTGTCCTGGGACCATCAGGTCCTCACTCCCTATGTTCATGAAGATCCCCCAACACAGTCACCATCAGAAGGCTCCTGAGAGGAGCTGCAAGGACATCCTCAGTCCCCTAAAATTCTAAGCTGTGATTCTCATCACTGTATTATTAGCAGAACTTTTAAAGTTGGGAAGGCAGGGAGGGGAAGGACCTGGGCAGGAGACACACGCTGAAGGGTCCCTGCCGGAAGTCCTGCTGCCTGCCCACCGCCAGCAGGCAGGTTTGAGCCTGAATTCCTGGGGAGGAATGCCAGGATGCAGAGCATGGGGCATCTCAAGGACGGAGTGGTAGCAGGGCTAAGCCTTGGACAGTGAGGGCAGCAGCAGCCCCACAGCGGGCAAGGAGCAGTGAGCCGGCACGGGACGTGCAGCTGCCCAGTGGGATCCAGGGTGCTGTGTTGTCAGCAAGACCCACCACAGGCTTGGGAAGGGAGCCTGGGGGATGACTTGCCCAGAACACGATGCCCTCCAGGCCTCCCTGCTGTCTCTCAACACGACTCTGAGTTGGACATAGGATAGGGTCTAGAACCTCCTCGCCCTGCACCACACCCACCTGTCACTCCGCCCCTTTCCAGGGCCCCGGGTCACACGGTCACTGGGCAGCACAGACATTTAAGAGGACAGCGGCCACACCCTGAGTCCCTTCCAAGAAAAGGCACTTGCTCGAGGGTCCCTGGCACTGCAGAGGCCCTGGGTGCTGCGTAAGCCACATCCACAGAAAGCCGTAAAACCCGAGGGAACACACTAATAAGCTGAATTCTGTGGTTTTCAAATTTTGGGGGTGTTTTGATCTGATCATGAGACAGCACCAGTTAGTATATTATAAAAACCACTTCAATTGTTTCTAATTTCTTAGATAAGGTTTGATTTGCTCTTACAGGAAAATGGCCAACCCTCCCATAGCTGCTATTTCTTGCTTTTAATTTTAATTTTTTGAATCAGTTGTCAGTGTACTGAGATTCGAGGATGGAACAGCGGTCTTCAGTCTGCTGCTGGTTGGCTGGCAGGAGGGCACACAGGCATGCTCATGGGGTGCTGTCCCGGAAGCTGTGGTCAGGGAGCACCCCAAGAGGAGACGTGGGGAGGTGCCCTGACACGACTCTGGAACTGAGAGAAGCAAGACACGGTTGCAGCGAGGGAGATGCTGCTGTTTGGGTTTCATCTTTAGTGAGCAAGAAAAACTGAGTGACGATGGTGACCCGCAAGTGACTACGTCCTCACCGCGCAGGCCGCACAGGGGCAGCGCAGGCAGAGCAAGCTTGGCCAGAACGCAGGAGGGACAGGCCTGCTATGGAGGTCGAGATGGCAAAAGAGGATCTCCCAGACAACAGGAAATACTGAAACGTACACCACAGCAGTGCAGATGCTAAAAGCGAGAAATCGAAGAGTTCCCTTCTCTACACTGCAGGGAAAGCCTGACCAGAGGCTGAGCCCAAAGGCCTGCAGGTAAAGCAAAGCCACAGGTATAATCAAAATCACCTCTGAAAGTTCCTCAGGAAGGACTTATGTCCCTCCTTCCCCAGAGTGAGGCGAGGAACTAACTCAGGGCTCCTGCGGCTCACCTGGGTCCATACCGAGAACAGCCCCGCCCCACTGTTAAAATCACTGTTTCTTTTCCCCTGTATCTAAGCTGTACCGTCTCATCCTCACTCTTGCTCTGCTGCTCTACTGCCTGGACACGCACTGACGGGGCTTCCCCAGGTGCTGGTCAGAGCAGCACCGTGCTGGGATCCACATGCCAAAGCCGCGTGAAAAAGCGACACCAGGAGACAGAAGTTGTGCTGTCCCATCGGAACGGTAGACACATGGCAGCTCTGGCAGGAACACGGCCCCCAAGGGCGCAGCACCCTTTAGGCTATGGGCTTTAGCGGCTGCTTTCTCTTTGGTAAATGGACCATCTGCTGAGGGGTGTGGGTGAGGGGAGCCCACGTGTGGGAGGGTGACAGCTCTAGGGAAACTATGCCCACCCCTCAACTTCACTGTGAACCTTTATCTGCTGTAAAAATACAACGTCTCAATAAAAACAAATAAGCTGTGACATTATTTGTCATCTTAACCATTTTTAAGTGGACTGTTCAAGCATACACCACACCGAGACTCCACAAGCATGCTCAGGCTTCAGTGGGCCCGCCCTACTGTGTGCTGTGAATCTGACTACTTCAGGAGAGGGGCCCTATCGTCTCCTAAAGCAAGCCTGTCTGTCTCATGGTTCTTGTACTAAATGGATAATTTCTGCTTTAGAAAAACCAGAAAATGAAAGTTCTAGTGCTCAAAACCAGTAACTGTAGCTTTTGATTTCTGAGGCACATATTAGCCTGACAGAGGCAAGCACAGGCCTGTGCATCCACATTACCCTTCAGGACGCAGAAGCTGCCGCGACCACATAGCTGGGGGCCAGTCCCAGCCCCCAGAGGTGTATTTCAAAGGGCAGGGTCCACAGCACTCTGGACACTGTCTTCCCTGTGACATCTACTTGTGCTTTGTTCTACTTGCGGGACTGCTGTCAAAAATGTTTTAGATTATGTGATAAATGTATGTGACCAGGAATCAAGTTTTGTGCCAGCCTGTCAGTGTCCTGGCTGGGAAATGGGAAGAGGACCCTGGGGGTTGCTGCTATGGAATCGGAGGGTACAGTGGGGTGTGAAGTGGGGCGCTGTAGCCTGACCACTTCTTCTTGTCTGTGAAGCAGAAAACACTAGTTTCTAGTGAGTAGCTGACACGAAGGGGCTGTGCTTGTGGGGGGTGTTGCCCCAGGAGAGGCCTCACTACTAGGCATTTGGAAAGGGGGGATCCACTCTGCCTGTCCTTTCTGACAGGGTTCACCAATCACCCCTCTTCAGATGTGGCACCGATAACTTGATAAAAGCAAAATGATAAATGTTCACCAATCCCTGTGTGCCGAGTGTGGGAGGGGGGGAGGGACTCAAGATTTAGTTCCATGTATCACTAATTACTGTGATACAGCCACACACGCGTTCATATCAGATTTTTTAAGGTAGTTAAAACAGCAAAACCCAACAGGAGGCAGACCACACCCACACACCAAGGCACCCTCGGTGAAGGGGGCTCCAAGGACTCACGGTTAAGGAGGCAATCCCCTTGTGGTAGAATTTTAAAGACTCAGCGATGCAGGAAAGTGCTGAACTGTACTTCCCCTCCTGCAGCCCGGTGAGGCACTGCTCGGCCTGAGAGAACTCCTTCAGGCCGTTCAGCCAGAAGTAGAAGTGCTCAGAGGCCACCTGTGTCAGCAGGCTCTGATACAGCTCCCGGGCCATGTCGTGGTTGCCCTGGGGGAGATAAGGGCAGCGGTAAGCAACTTACTTGTGGATTCATTGCTGTGGCAGCAAAAACCAAACAAACCCCCCGAATCTTAAATAAGCTTTAACAATAGCTTCTTGCGTTATATAATTTTTGGAGATTCGGCCTAAGTGTTTCCTCAGTGGAAAACGTGCTGAGCTACTTTTCATAATGCCAAGCTTCTCACCAAAATAGCCGGCAGGCCTCTGCTGGCAGGACACTGCGGCTCAGGCTTCCCTCCTGACCTTGTCCCCAGTGTCACCACACTGTCCAAGCTCGTTTGTCCTCTCAAACAGATTGATAAAAATGCTTAGGTTTTCTGAACGGCCCAGAAGGAACCAAGACATTACATGTCCGGTTCCACTTATAAGGATGAGGCAGGAGAGGGAGAAGGAAGGAAAAATTGTGGTGCTGAGGACAGGTGGGAGGTGGCTGTGGATGTGATCATCTGGGTGAAATGAAAGTGATGTTAAGAAGGGACAGCCGGAAAGAAGTCAGGACTGCAGAATTCCCATGGATGGTCCCCGTGACACACATTTTTACTGACAAGAATGTATATGCTGTCCTCATCCGAGGAAAGTCAGAAATCAGGTCTTTTCTTTCATTAATCCCATGACTAGAAAGTACTTTCACCTGCGGAAACACGCACACCCGCCCGCCAGCCCACCCCCCTGCCCCCAGGGCAGGACGCACCATTCTGGACGCCTGCCTGGCGATCCGGTACACGGTCCAACCATTGGAGATGCTTTCCAGCTGCTGCTTAATGACGGCCTTTACTTCAGCAGACAGAGCTTTCTGACTGGCTACAAAAATCACGGTGGCCAAGCTCACCTAACATGGAACAAGAAGACAGACAGTGAGCAAGACCATATCGCCCTACCCGGTGTCACTGGTTACCCTCTCCGAAAGGGAGGAAGACTAATTGAGAGCCAGTGAAAATGAAAATGTTTTCCACTGGCATTTACTACTTCATTTTGAAGTCACTGCAAAACATATCCTATTTCTCACAGAACTATTTATAATAGCAAATAATTAAAAGTAGTTCCCATCTACACAGATACACAATGGTATCACAAAATGAAACACTACACAGTGCAGTGTAGTATTTCAGACAATTGACATAAAATAAGCAAAACACAAAAAAATCACATGGAGGGTGACAATAAGTAAAGTGAGAATATCCAAATGACTCCGTGCAGCACTCAGGCCATGTGCCGAGGCAGGAGGCACAGGTCAACAGCAGGTGAGCAGAGCAGCCCCTTGGGAGGGGCCAGGATCAGAGGGCACACAGGAAACTGTATTGTTAAGCACTTTTTTTTTCATGACCAAAGGCCCCTCACAACTGTTAACTTTATTTAATATTTTATTTTATATAATTCTTACATCATTTTTCATTTTAGCACAGTGTATGCATTTTCTTAATGCCAGAGTTTTCACTGCAGTGTTCCTTATGTTTTTGAATATTGTTTCATAATTTAAAACTGCTTCAAAGCAGTACTAATGAAAGAGAATTAGTTGGAAATACTGCTAAAATAAAAAAATTGACCTGGCTACCTGTCTCTTCGCATCCCAAAGCTGACTGGGCTAAATGTGTGACGTCAGTGCTCCCTGGCCACCAGAACCTTCCCAAGAGCAATAATGAGATGGGGCACTCTCACACACTGCCCTCTAGAGGATGAAGTTAAACCCAGCTTAAGTACAGAATTTCATCCCTCTTCTTCCCAACCCTAAACTCAGGGGACCAGACCCAGAACAGAGAGGCCAACTGAGGCTGGGTGCTCCACCTGCGCCCCTCTGCCTGCGCGCAGTCTCGGAGCTCTCCCCCACAATGGACTGCATTGCTCCCACGGCTCTTGCTTTTGTCTAAGCTGGTGCTTTACCCACCTCCAGGGCTTAATGTGAAAACTAAGTTGGGTCCTAAACAGCTATAAAGGTCCTGGATTGAGAAAAAGTAATTTGGGGGAATTCATGGCAACCATTATCATTAGCTCTCTAAACTTTTATTTCTGGAAGTATAAAACAGGGTTTAGTTCATTATTCATTTGTTTTGGAGAAAGAAAAAACTTTCCTTTTGTCCTTTGGAATAAAACAGAAACATCAGATTGGAGGTGCTGAGTCCACTGAGCTGACTTGAGGAGCTCAGGAAGAAAGCAGGTTTAGATCTGAACTACACAGGGCTTTCTACATCAAAGTGAAAATTTGCCTAAAGTTCGTGGTTCCAATTCTGTTTTGACTTCCGCAAGCTCTTCATCTTACTTCATCTTATAAAAAATCACTTTAACCTGTTTGTTTGCTTTTTAAGTCAAGTCAAACAGTATCAACTTCCCAGAGGCACGACCAGGCCCCATCTTCCATACCAGAAGCTCCTGCTGCTGGTCTGAGGCTGAGTGGCCAATGGCCTGGTAGAGCCCCATGAGGTCGCCCAGCATGCCGTCGCCCAGCACGGGCAGCTGCATGGCGATGGCGGCCAGGCAGTGGCACATGAGGACCCGGGCCGCATCCTGCGCCCTGTGCAGCTGGGCCAGCAGGGTCTCCACCACGGACTGGCTGAGGTGGGGCCTGCCCTGGGCCAGCTTCACCATGCAATTCAGAGCCATCTGCAGAGCGAAAAGAACACAGACCAGTTAGATCTAGAAGGTGTTAAGTGAAACGTCCTTGGCCAGTTACTGGGAGCGGCCAAGGAGGAAGCTACTGCAAGCACAGCACTAGTCTCTGCTAGACACACACGCCGTACTACCTCGTCAGGATCTGGCACGCTCATTGTGGTTAAACTAAAGTAACAAGTCAGAGGCCCATGGACCAACCACTTGTTTCAACCTAAGACTACTGCTAAAAAAGACTTCAGATGAAAATCGTAAGGAACAATTCCAAAGAAGCAAAGATCTATGCCAGGCCAAAGCCACCATCACTGCCTGCGTGTCTGCTACTTTCCAGGAGCTGCTGTTCAGCGTGGCTAGAAACTCATCCATGCCAAAGTCTACTGTCTGCTGTCAGCCCCACCCCTGCACTGACCTGCTCTTCTCAATTCTCCAGCTGGACCATCACAAACCACACTTGATGTCTTACTCCAGCAAGAGTGGTCTCATTTCACATTTGAAAAATATTAAATCCCTCTAGTATGATTTCTCTAATTATATGAAAGTGCTTATACATCTTCCTCATTTGGTTTCAAAGCTGGGGTCTCAATGAATCAACACACACACTTCTGAGCTGCTAGAGCTGGTCCATTGTGTTGTGGTCTGACCGCCCCCTCGGATGAGACCCCTGGTGCAGAGCCCTGCCCACTGACCAGCCTACTGACCCTCTTTACACCTCTGGCTGCCGAGGGCCGCTGTGTGCCCACCCTGGTGCCTGCTGCTGGCAAAGCAGCCAAAGCTCAGGTTTCACTGGCCTCTATCTCTTGAAATAATAAAAGCCAGTTTGGAAGTGAAGATCAGGGCTGACATTTGTTCAGGTCAGGTGCTGACAAGCTATTGCCCTCAGACCTAATCCCACCCCCTGCCTGTTCTTATAAAGAAAGCGCAACTGGAACACAGTCAACCCTGCCCCTTTTTTTGCATATATTGTCCAAGGCTGTTTTTGGTCCAATCTAGACCAAAAACAGAGCAGAGACAGAGAGCACAGCTTGTAAGCCCCGAGACATTCACTAGCTGATCCTTTACAGAGAACGCCAGCCCAGGTTCAGGGAATGAAAGCAGCATCATATTAAAGTTAAGTGACCTTTCACCTTCAAAGTGGCTTGAGCACCGGGAGTGTTGTCTTGACTACAAAGCACCAGAAGGGATTCCAGGCCAAAGACAGCATCTTGCTCCAGGGCCAAAAGATCTAGAAAAACACACTGGGTTATAGTGGCCAAGTAGAGAATCCATCTCTCTCTCTCTCTCTCTCTCTCTCTCTCACACACACACACACACACACACACACACACACACACACACACACACACACACACACAGAATAAACTTTAAGAAGTCAAAGATCTAGGAAACACTTAATGCAGACAATGAACCTTCCCGGAAAGCAGCATGGCGTGGCTCTGCTCCGTCAAGGCCGCTGCAGCCTGCTGTGTGGCCGCAGCTCCACGAGGATGGGAACTCAGGCTCACGAGTCAAGAGTGGGAGTCAGAGTTATAAGCAAAGCACTACTGAATGTTGCCAGCTTAGTAAATACCAGGGGCAAACTACTATGAGGGCCTGGTTCACCCAGGCAGAGACAATTTTCAGATTCTAATGGAAGCTGAAGCTCTTTCAGGAAGTAACGAGGCTGAACACAACCTTATCCGTGTTCTAGATTGGACCAGAGACAAACCCTAAGGTGTCTCAAGCAATAGCTGCACCACATCATCTTACCACTAACCTCTAGCATTTCTCTAGAGGTTCCAGAAATTTCTGAATGTATTAGCTACCTGAATTTAGATTAATGTACATCAGCTTAAATAACATATAGCAGTTTTTTGCGTTCTAGAGTAGAGAATGCTAGTAACTATGCCAAAAATAAAAATGGTATTTTACTGAGGTTTGGTGATTCCAATCAGCATTGCTGCATAACCTAAAACAGCGTCTCCTGTGCTGGCATAGGGCGCAGGGTGGGGGCTGGTGGCAGCTAGGGCGCTGGGAAAAGACAGACCCAGCAATGAGCAGCGATGCAGCTGGTATGGGCGAAAGCGACTGCAGACACAGGGCACAAAAATGTATCTCTTGCTCTGAACACAAGCACAGACTTCAAGTCAGAGGCGTTAGGAAAACAATGACATACATGCACTATTTTCTGTGTGCAGCCTCCTTAGTCACATAGTAAGCACCACGCACAGGTACCCTGAGAGCAATTCTAGGAAAATTTCAATCACCTTACTCTGTTAACAGGTTAAACAAGCTGCTACTCAAGATGCTAGATGACCAAAGATATTTTCTTTCAATTTTTAAGTTTTTGTACAGGGGACAGACAACCTATGCCACAGGACACCGAAAGCAATTCCTACTCACAACGCCCAACACGCAAAGGTGAACAGAGGGTGGAAAGGGCCACGTGCCATACATCGGTTCAATTCCACAACTCCAACCCCAAGGCTCTCACTATTTAAATGTTTTAGCAAAAGACAAGAAGTCTTGAGGAAATGCTCTCTAATCGCAACACTTCAGAAGAAGACAACTTAGTAAGCCAAAGCATACAGGGCAAAATGAGAAGGGACTAAGACACAGGCTCCGGAGATTCCGGCCCTGCCAGTCCTGGTGGGACTTACCTTTTTCCTGACAGGACACAGTGATGTTGGTTAGGACTCGCCCACCATGAGCTGCGATGCCCCTGTTGTTATGGTAACAGCACTCTTGGGACAATTTGACTAAATCAGAAGATCTAGGGGGAGAACCCACATTTCCTGCCCAAGCAAAGAAAAACAGCACAAACTGTAATTCATGTATATAATGCAAAACCAGCATAGTTTATGGGTTCATTTTCTGCATTTTCAAGAGAGAATCTCCAACACCAAACCTTAACAAAATCTTTTACCTGTTCCTTTCCTCAATACATACCATCATGTCCTCACTCCTGTCCGGGTACCCACAATACCCCTGTGCCCAGTCTTGGCATGACTAAGATCTGTAATTCATCAGAACTGTCCCATAAAAGTATTAATAAAAACTAAGAAAAGCAAAAACAACTGTCATTTCTTGGCAACTGAAATGGTTCTTTTTTTTTTTTTTAAAGATTTATTTTTATACAATAACTGGGGTACAGGTCAGAGGAAGAGGAGGGTAAGAGGATTCACCAGAGACAGAGCAGAGAGCAGAACAGGCAGACGGGCCGAAATATACTGCTGAGGGGAGCAGCGGGCAAGACAGGAGAGGTGTGCTGCACCATGTGGGCTTCTCCCTGGCCGGTCGGGAATCGAACCCGTGCTGAGGAGGCTGCAGACACCTTCACAGCACTGCACTCAACCTGCTGCGCCACTGGGGAGGCCCAAAATGGTTCTGATCAAAATGGAAGTCCTTACAGGCTTCTTGTCAGAGTAAAACCAGACCTTCATGACAGGAAAGAGAAACAAAAGTCTTAAGTTTGCCTTTTCCCACTTCAAATTGCTAGCATATAGTTACACCTTAAAACCCTTATGTATGAGTTCATGACTTCAGAGTTGGAAGAATTTTGGGATCTGATTTAACATCACATTTTTACCAAAGAAACCGAAGCTCACAGATTTTAAGTAGCTCGCATCAAGGTTGTGACACATGTGAGTTCTGCAATCTCCCGAGATTGTACCTTAGCTCTGGGCCACAGATCACAGCAGCTTCTAAAATCTGTACTTGATATTCTGTATTATAAGGTTTACGCTGTGAACGTTCTTATTTATAGAAGAGAAGGCCTCGGGTGTCAGCGAGTAAGCTTCAAGAAGCACCGGGAGACTAACACTTGTTCAATTTCTCAGAAGCGTCACTCATTCCTGGCTTCCTTCCCCTGCTCAGCCATGTCTCTCACAGCAGGAGTGACCACATTTTTTTGAGGGTGCAGAAGACGCTGATACAAGTTATGACAGACACAAACTAGGATGGTGGTCTTCAGCAGAGGAGGCTAAACCGACTTCCAGTTAAACATAAAAGTACCCCCGTGGGTGGAAGTCTCAGCGTTTGCAAGAGGCAAAACCTCTGAAAGCTGAAGCCAGATCTCACTTTTCCAGAACACGAAAGGTGTGTTTCTCCATCCTCTGGCTTGTCTGAATGCACCGGACAACGGAGCCCCATTTGCATTTTTACAAACATGTTTCCAACTTGTTTTCCCCACCAGTCCCTCAAGACCAAGCAAAGGACACTTGGAAAAACCAGAAATACTCAAAGAAAAAAAAGCATCATGACTCCCCCCAAACCAACTTGACGTCATTATCAGCCTCTGTAATTCTTCTAAGTCTTGTTACTCCCACACATGCACAGTAATGGAATTTAAGAGGACACAACAGTACTGACCAGCATTCTGATTTTAAAGTATGTCTTTAAGCACTTTTCTAAGTTCACCTTTTCAGGATAAAATTATTACCAATCTAATTTTACTTCTTCATAAATGACTTACTAAGATAACTCATGTGGCTCATGAGGTTCCACAAGCGGCAGAAAAGGGAAGAAGTCAGTAAGGGAAGCTCCTGGGCTCAGCCGGGCCCTGACTGTGCAGGCGGCCACACCTGCTCCCGGCCACCCGGGGGCCATGCAGCCAGCAGGCACAGTCTGTCCCCCCCTTCCCTGTTTTACGCTGCTTTACGGTTTCACTTCCCTCTAACAGTGATGTCCCGCAGACACTCTGGGAAGTGCGGGATTGCGCACTTCCTGGGCTGCTGCATGGCCCCTTCTGTAGCGTGGCACAGCCATTTTTTCTGTGCGGCCCCGTCAATGGACTTTCTTTGCACAGCCAGCAGTGTGTTGCTATGGCACAGAATGATGCCACGAGTCCCATACATATGTCATTTCTCACATGTGTGAATTTGTCAGTAGGAAGGTTCAAGAAGCAGGACTTCTAGGTCATTCAGATCTTGAGTTATATTTCTGAATCGCCTGTGCTAAGGCCCAGGAAGCCACACTCCCGTCAGCAGTGACGCCCCAGTCCACAAGGCATGCTGTCAAACTTCTGACAGACAAAGTGTTTCAGAGTATTTTTTGTTTGCATTTTTCCCAATTGTGTGATATTGAGCACCTTGCATCACTCAGAGCTGTCTGCTAGCAATAACTTAGACACATGCAACTGTTTCACAAGCCATTCTTCCTGGTCTCAGTGAACAACCTAATTAGGAAGACACTTAAACATTTTCTATTGCCCATGGGAATAAACTTGCTTTGGAAAATCCTTGACTTTTATTTCTTGTGAGCATTACTACCAAGTCTGGCTATCAAGCCTCTGCCTAATTCCACATACAAACTGCAACTTAATAAAACCCCCAAATTTGATAAAAGGACAAATAAATTTTCTAACCTGAAAAGCGCTTGATGATTATAATCAAGCTTACTGATGTTTTTGAAAATAAAAAACAGGGCCTCCCTGGTGGCGCAACCAGTTAAGACACAACATATGAAGCTGTCCACAACATATGAAGCTGTCCGCAGCCTCTGCAGCACGAGTTCAATCCCCGGCCAGGGAGCTGCCCACATGGTGCAGCAGACCTCTCCTGTCTCCCCACTGCTCCCCTCAGCAGTGGATTTCAGTGGATCTGCCTATTCTGTTCCCCATTCTGTCTCTGGTAAACCCTCTCACCCCCTGCACCTCTGGCCTGTACCCCAGCTTTTGCATACATAAATAAATATTTAAAAAAAAAACAAAACTAAAGACAAGGCAGGCCACCTGCACCCTGGTTGGGTGGGAGTGAGAGGAGCCCAGCGCACCACAGTTGTGCCTCCAGACGCACCATCGAGACCATGACCTGGGTTCCATGGGTGTGAGCCCCTCCATGGGCCTCACCTGGAAGGTGACCTGCACAGAAGTAGGGAGAGCTGGGGTGGGATGGGGGGGTGGTTCTCTGCATGAGAAAATACTATTACTCCTACGTACACTGCTGCTCGTTCCAAGTGTGACATTAGTCACAGATACCATGTGCATGCTGAGGACAGAGATGGGCTGATGGATGCAGAAAGGAGTTTCCGGAGCTCACTCTGGGAACGGGGCTAGAGATAGTGATGATCCCTCCACTCCTTGCAGGGATGCCCCTTGCAATGCACTGCCCTATTCCGAGCCTCCAGAGGGGGCATTTTCACCTCTCTGGGTGGCATCATGTGACTTGCTTTGGCCAATAAGACATGAAGAATGGGTGTAGCAAAGAGCTGAGAAGTGCCTGTGTGCTGCTGGCTTGCTCTTTCTGCCCCAGGCCATGCTGTCAACAAGGTCATGATGTCAACGAGCTGGTGCTGGCCTGCGTGCCACGTGGTGAAGAAGAGGGTGCTGCCGCTGCAGCCTGTGGGCCTCTGCTGGTGAATGAGGCCATCTCAGACCCTCCAGTCCTGTCAGGTGCCAGGTGCCTGCAGTCTTGTGAGTGAGCCCAGGAGAGATCAGCAGAACTGGGCCAGTCAAAACTGCCGATTTGCAGAATCCCAGCAAATGAAATGGTAATGGTGTTAAGTCACCAGTTTCAAGATGATTTATTACGTAATGATAGGACACTGAGGAAAGTAGCTCAAAGAATTACTGTGAAGCTGGAAAAACTCAAAAAGTGGGCAGGAAGAAGGCAAGTCTTAAGGCCCACAAAATCACAACCCAAACCACACGTGGCTCTGCTCAGTGAAGATCGTGCCCACTGTCACTGTCCCTGGGATCACAGCACACACCACTGCTGAAGGAACCAGCAGAGAAAGGCCATGGCTAGGGGCCCAACACGGAGGTCGCTGTGGTCGATGCTCCATCGTCTGTACACGCCCACCCACCCCTGAGTCTTGCCGCCGGCTCTTGGTTCAGGCCATGGTCTGGAGATGGCGAGTTGAGTCCAAGTCACAACCGTGCGCACCCTCGCTGGCCAGGGCGGGGCAACAGGTTACCAGGTCTTTCCAGCTTCAGATCAAGACCCCAGGGTGGGAAACCCCTCCCCATGTCGGTGACACTCACTGGACAGCACACATGTATTTTTTAAAGCTAACAGGCACTCTGTGTGGGTTGTGGGCCTCCCATCCACGCCCACTCAGGTTGCTGTCTCAAATGTCAAGAATCCGCGAACATGATGCACATTACAGTCTCAGTTCAACCCAATGACCTGACTAAAACAGAAGCAACAGAGATTGCACAAAATGTGCATTGACATGAGTCAACAAAAACACGAGCCTCAGCCCATCAGGTGAGCAAGCTGCTCGCTGGACAGCCACAGGGCTTGGGGGTTCAATCGTCTTGAATAGGCATCGAGGAAAGCACATGGACTCAGGGAAAGTGTTCTTGCCTCGTTCTCCAGTGGGATGACATTCACCTACAGGCAGCACGTGGCATTTGCTTTTAAAAGTCACCACCACCTGGCCTTTGAAAAGTACTTAAATTCAGGGCATCCCTGGTGGTGCAAGGGGTTAAAGCACAGCACTGTGAAGCTATCCGCAGGTTCTGCAGCACGAGTTCGATCCCCGACCGGCCAGGGAGATATCCACATTGCACAGCAGACCTTTCCTGTCTCCCCACTGCTCCTCTCAGCAGTGCATTTCAGTCAATCTGCCTGTTCTGTTCCCAACTCTGTCTCTGGTGAATCCTCTCAACCCCCCATACCTCTGGCCTGTACCCCAGTTCTTGCATGCATAAATAAATCTTTAAAAAAGAAGTACTTAAATTCAAAGGACACTGAGTGAGAGACATAAAGCAGTGAATCTGCTGAACTAAGCATTCTCAAAACTATTGCTTCACACACAAAGAATTCAGAAAAGGGCAACCTGAAAAACTACATTTTTGAGTTAAGATCAGGGTGCAAGTACTCACTAACCCAGTGCTGGCCAAGGAGCCATTTCAAGTAAATCTCTAGCAAGAGGATGAGATGCCTGCAGCTTTCGAGAGGGGGCTCCGGCAAACACCCCAGTGCAGGGAGCTACTTGCTCCCCTCCTTACCCGAGGCGACGCTGAAGTAGTGTTTGATGGCAATGGTGCCCGACAGCACGGAAAGGACCGACAGCATCCCCAGCTTCAGACTGTCGTAGGGCGTCTGCAGGGCACACTCACAGAGTGCCTGAGGGGCCGGGGGAAAGGACACAGAAGTCAGCGGCAACAGACTGCAAGACTGCCATTTTAGGTTTTTTAGTTTTGGGGAAAATTACAGTCTTTTAGCCATATTACAAACCCCAGTCACCTGCCACAGCCCAGAAGAGCCTCAGGCGTGCTAGCCGATACAGCGCAACATCCTGGGACAGTCCCAGGACAGGAAGGGGCCACAGGTGAAACAACCCAAGTCCTGATACCGGCTCAGGAATGGAGCAAACGTGCCCGCCAATGCAGACTATCAAGGCCGGGCACGGGTGTGAGAATGGGGAGATCCCCTGCTCTGATTGTCTCAATTTTCCTGATAGAAAATATCTGGTAGATATTTTACTGAAAATAACTCCTCTGTCTACAAGCCCACAGTTATTCTAAAAGATAAAGTTAATTTTATTTTTTATCATGAATGAATTTCTGTTTATTGTGAATCATGTACTTTAGTCCTTATAAGCAACATCTCCACTCTGCCTTGCTTACCTGAGAGGACAACAGTTCACACACACACTCGGGCACCTAGCTGCACCGCCAGCAGTGCGTGAGTCCACCCCGCCAATTTCAGGCATTCACTCAGCCCCTCACATAGAACCAGAGCCTCACTGTCTTCAAGGCAGTGGACTGTGGGGCCTCCTGCTCTGCCCTGGGTGTCTCATGAGGACTGAAGGACAGGACAGCATGTCACCCAAGTGGCCAGACAGCGGCCTTATCCAATTAAAATCCTTCCTGCTCTTCAACAAAGATAAAAGGTTCAGAGAATGAGCCAAACTTAAGACTAGGGGAATATGAAAAATTCAGAAAGTATGAAATGGAACAATAAATTTAATATGACCCAAATAAAAATGCTGACAAAATCTTAGGGGGAGAGGGAGGGATTTAGGTAATCTGCTTTAAAAAATTATATGGAAAAATAAAAATCAGAGTATTCAGAAAAATTCCAGCAAATAAGGGGCCACTGATAGAAGTAAACAGTTTTTCCTGTTCATGGATAATCAACTGAGAGTACTGAACCCAGAAATGGATTCAAATACACATTTGAATTCAACATATACCAGTATGACAAATGAAGAGCTTTTAGTAAGTTTAAGGACAACTGGCCAGTCATCTGTGTAAAATAAAACTAAGATTCCTGTTTCTTTTGATGGAAAATAAAACACAAAGCCATAAAAAGTACTAAGAGTTAACATGGGAAAATAAAAAGCAAGACAGTAATTGATAAAACTAGAAAAAAATATTTATATCGTGTAAAGTTAATAAAGGCCCAAAAACCTTAACAGATAAAAAAGTTCTTGCTAATAAAAAGACAAATAACCCAACAGAAAAATTCAGTAGTTCACAGATAAAACTCACACAAATGGATTTTAAATGCAAGCTATTAAAAGAACCCACAATTTGAAAGTTGTAAGAACCGCTTTTCACCCATCAGAACAGTCAAGACTCAAGTGTGACAGTACCACCTCGAAGCAAAGGCAGAGGGTGGGGGTACCCGCCCACACTGTGACAGAGGGTGAAATGGTAAAAATCTCACCGGGGATAGCTGGCATTAGATCTCAAAATTTTAAATGTATCTAATTGGACCCCAAAATTCCTCTCTTAGAAATTGACGTTCACAACAGAGATTTCTTACAGACAAGCTGGTGCATGAGTAGTGTGAACAGCAGCAGCACTGGGAAGGGCCCTCCTCCACCAGTGGGGGCTGAGACACAAAAGCCAGCAGCAATCACCACTAACATGAGATGCCCCAAGAGGCACTGCTAAGGGGTAAAGGCTCAGACTTGCATTTAGTATATTTCCGCTAGTAAGGGGAGGGCACACAGGCATACTAGCGCAAGACGCACAGACGCAGGAAGGTGACGCCAGGGCCTGGGGACTGGGGACTGGGGTTGCCCCACAGAGGATGCCTGCACCTTTCAACTCAGAACTTTCATCCTTTAGGGGTACACTTCAGCTGCAACCAAAGAACAGCAACCCTGGAAATTGTCCCAGAAAGAAATGGAGCTGAGAGCTGGCAGAGGTTCCAGATGATGGGGGGAGACAACCCAAAAGCGGCCTTGCAAGGGAGAACACAGCAACCAGGAGAGAACGTGGAGTGCTGACTTACAGACTAAGAGGAGACACGGCCAAAAGGACAAAACATCCGAGAGAGGGACCCTGACTAGGGAGGATCAAGGAGATGACAGAGGGGCTGAAGCCAGGCAGAGACTTAAACTTAACAAGAAAGGAAAAGGAGGCCGTGAAGAGGAGGCAGTCACTGAAGCACCACAGATGCTACTTCCAGCAGCAGCCACAGAACACATTAACAGAGCAGTGAGCTCAGGGGCCAACCTCCATCCGGAGTGGTAATCCTGATGGGCAAGGAGGCCTCGATTGGCGCCCGAATGGAGAGCAGGAGCCGAGTGTGAGACGTGTTGAGAGTAATTATAGAGGAGAAAATGAACAAGGAGTTGAGAATTATTACAAAACTTCACACCTAGTGACCCAAGGTTGCGGATTCCATTATGCAAACTGGGAACTTAAGAGGTCAAGTGAATTTTACGGGACAGAAAATATGAAATCCAAGGAGAAACAGCCGCCAGACACTGGGAGCTGAGATGCAACAGATTACTCAGCAGAGGCTCAGGTGAGAACTCCATCTCTGCCACTTACCATCTCCAGGATCTGAGCCAACTACTGAAATCTCTGAGTCTCAACTTCTTTGTCTACAAAACGGGGGCAAAGATTTATACAAAACTGTTGTTTTCATATAAAATATCTCTGGAAAAATATACAGGCACTCAGACGTGGTTGCCACTGGGCAAAGGGGCTGAGTGGGTCTGAGACAAGTGAGTAGAAAGTACTTAATACCCTTTTGAAGCTTCTGAATTTTGACTGCGTGAATGTATTGCTGTGAAAAGAAATGAATTAAAGCCAAAAATAATGTAAGTGGGGGTGATACCTGTTGTTAGTAAGACTAAAGCTCTTCCAAGTGCTTGGCAAACTACACAAGCCTCTGTGCTGAGAGCAGCTGAGCAGCTCAGGCAGAAGAACCGGTGGTTGGCAAATGCACATTCCATTTTTATGGCAAAGAAGAAACAGAAGCAAGCTGGGGGCTTGGAAGGCACAAGAACCAACTCTGAGGAAAGGGGCAGCAAAGACTACCAGGAAAGCACAGCTATGAGAGCAGGAAGGGAAAGTAAGGACAGCTAAGGGACCAACGGGTCCAGAAAATGGGTAAATTCAGTGTCAAATGTACTAACGAAGAAAGACAACGTGGGCAGAAGCAGCCTCTCATTTGACACGAAGAACATGGTGACCTTTTCAGTGCTAGAGAGAAATGAGGAAACGGGTCTGAACGCAGGCATACTGACACCAGAGCAGGGGCAAAGGAAGAAACGCAGATACAGATAGATGTTGGCTCAGAAGCTTAAAGCAAGCATTTTTCAAAAAGTGGTTGTGGTCAGGCATTCCCGTATTTTTCATTATTTTTTTAAATACCTCACAGCCATTTCCATTCATCCATTTTTGATGGCTTCAACTGTTCTGCCTGGAACCCCGAACCCGCTTGTGCTTATCTTCAGCCAAACAAACAAACCCAGGCCGGTAGGCCGCGCCCTGCACCTACCAGACACACTCAGAATCAGCTTCTGCACATCCAGTATTGCACAAACACAGCCTTTGGGTTTAATCAAGGTGATACATTTCATATAAGATGATAATGACATCAATTTTAAAGAAAGCCAGAAGAGTTTTACCATTTGAAAAACTGAACAAACTGCTATCATAGAAGACCTCAGGACTCTCGGCATGACTTCCTCACTCCTGCCCCTCGCGCAGCCTGACTGAAAGGGCCACTAATTGCAACTAGTGAGCTTAACAGCACGTCCGGAGGGAGTGTATCTCATGATGAACTCAGGTCCAGTTTGCTCCAATGACGCTGCCCCATATATGATCATCTTCCCGCCAACAAAGGGATGAGCCGAGGGCTGGCAGGAGGCACATCCTTGCTTGCCATGGCTTTCCTGGCTGCACGTCTGTGCTCCAGGAGGTGCCGCCCTGAATGGCTGTTTTCTGGGGCAGGTCCTCAAATGGGGCTTCTCCTCTACCTCGAACAGGACTGGCCTCTAGGGATGTGTTCCAGAAAAGCACGGCTAAAAGTGTACAATCTTTTAAAGGAAGGAAAAATGTTATGTTTAAAATTACCCTACCAGAAACATGGCCCCTCCAAATTTCTGTCTCCACTGTACTGACTGCAAAGAATAAGGTTGTGAAAAAGAACTACTTCTCAGGCTTGACCTGCCATTTTTCCTCATATCAAGGTGAAGATAATTTACAGTAGGACCCAAAACCATGAAGCAGGAATAAATCTCACAGAACATATATAAGATCTGTAATTGAAAACTAAAAACTTTTGGTGAAAAACTGAGAAAGCTCTAAATAAATGGAGAGGCCATGTTCATGAATCAAGAAAACTCAAGATATTAATTCTTTTCCACACCCATCTACAGATGCAGATACCATTCAAAATCTTAGTAGGGTTTTGCAGAAATTGATGTATTGACTCAAAATTTCAGACAGAAATGCAAAGGACCTAGAATATCCAAAACAATTCTGAGAAAGAAATCCGCTGCCTGCTTCTGAGATGCACTATCCAATCACCACGTGGGACAGTGTAGCATGAGCTAAGGAGATTACTCAGACCAGTGGGTCAGAACAAAACCAAAAATATGGCCCACTGACTTTCAACCAAGGTGCTAAGGTAATTCTACGGAGAAAGAACAGTTTTTTCAGAAGGGGTGCTAGAACAATTGGCTATCCAAATGCTCTTCAATCCCTACCTTGTACCATATACAAAGTCAACGCAAAATGGGTTACACAAAGCCAAACATTGAATCTAAAGCTGTAAAAGTTCTAGAAGAAGACATCTGAGAAAATCCTTATGACCTCGAGTTAGGCAAAGATTTCCGAGATAGGGTCTCCCTGGTGGCACAAGGGGTTAAAATGCAACCTATGAAGCTATCTGTTGCCACACAGCACAAGTTCAATCCCTGGCCAGGGAGCTACCCACATGGCACAGCAGACCTCTCCTGTTTTGCCCGCTGCTCCCCTCAGCATTGTATTTCAGTCATTTTGTTTGATCTGTTCCCCACTCTGTCTCTGGTGAGTCCTCTCATCCCCCCATACCTCTGGCCTGTACCCCAGTTCTGTATGCATAAATAAATAAATCTTAAAAAAAGATTTCCTAAACACAGAAACACAACCCAAAAATGAAAAACACTGCTAAGCTGAATTTCATTTTTTTAATAAAAAAAAACAAAAACAAAAACTATTCTTCAAAAGCCACTATATATTAAAGGCAGGGAGGAAATATTTACAATACGCATGCAGAGAATATATTTGCAAAACATATCTGGCAAAAATATTTGTATGCAGAAGATATAAAGAACTCAGTAACAAGGCAATCTGAAAAATGCATATAAGATCAGAACAGGCCACTCGCCAAAGAAACATGGATGAGGCTGTAAGATGCTCTGTCACTGGTCATAAGGGGAATGCAAGTGGAAACCCTGATCAGACATGTCTACACACTCACTAAAATGGCTAACACTACACACACACCATAACACGTGCCAGCCAGGACACAGAGGGTGAGCTCTTGCACATGCCAGCAGGTCTGGAAAATGCACAGTCATCATGGAATAGTTAGGCAGCTTCTAATAAAGTTAAACATACATTTATAACCCAACACAGCAATTCTCTCCTAGGTATTTACCCAAGAAATGTCTTACAAAAACTTGTAGGAGAATAGTTTTACAACACCTAAAAACTGGAAATGATCCAAATGTTCATCCACACGTAAATGGAGACTGAGATCTGCTCTCGTATTTACCAAAGAAAACTTATGAAAGCCTTTTGCTCTCCACAAAGAAATATACTTTGTCAAGTTACCCACCCAGCATGCACCTTCTCCCTAGTAAATCACAGTTAATGAGAAAAATGTTCTCCCTAGATCATCTTGAGGAGGGAGGAACAAAATAAGCAATTAAATTTGTGCTTCTCAATCAGCCCTACCGCTGCTATGGGAAAAGTACCAAGAAAATGAGAGGCACGTCTCGTTCACTAAAACAAACGTAAACATTAATAGAGAGAAGTTTCATGTACTGATTTTGTTACTTATAAAATAACTTCTCTCACAAATAATCAACAGTGCTCTTTAAAATATTTCATATCTGGAGCCTCCCTGGTAGCACAAGGGGTTAAGTCTCAGCTATCAGCAGCCATTGCAGCACAAGTTCCATCCCCAGCCAGGGAGCTGACCCACATGGCACAACAGACCTCTCCTGTCTCCCCGCTGCTCCCCTCAGCAATGGATTCCAGTGGATCTGCCTGTTCTGCTCCCCACTCTGTCTCTGGTGAATTCTCTCACCTCCCCATACCTCTGGCCTGTAGCCCAGTTCTTCTATGTAAAAATAAATAAAATCCTAAAAAAAAAAGAAATGTTTCATATCCAAATGTGACTAAAAATGCAAAGTAAAACAACTGACTCTGGACCTTGCTCTCTCCCGTGCCTCAGGTCTACGCACCTGAATGTTCTCTCTACTCCAGGTATGTGGCGTTTTAGTGGCCAGCAACTTCAGGTCTTGAATAGCCAGTCTCTTTACTGCTTTTCTGGGGTCATTCTTCAAATACTGCAGCAGAAGCTGGATCTATAAAGGAAGGAGGTCCATGGATGACACTGCACAGCAACGGACACACCGCAAGCTAGGGCAGCCTTGCCCTCACAGCTGGGCTGCCTATGAGAGGCTCCTTCCCCACATGAGAAACAATACAGTCCTCCAGGTTCCCACAAGGGACATGCCTCCCACACCCAACCCTTTCTTTCCTTAATCGCCAACTCCAAGATCTGTGTGAGCCCCCACCCATCATTTCCCCTAGGTCTCCCGAACAAGAGAACCGTGCGGAAGGGGGGGACAAAGCAAGCAATGGGAAGTTGAACTGACCTCAATTAGGGACAGGAGTCTATGAGCCGCTAATTGCTTTATTCTATGTTTAATATGCCAAGTTCACTAAAGAAAAGGCAGTTTAAAAGGAAACTGAAAAACTATGCCTCCCCAGTGGCCTAGTGGTTGAGTCTTAGTGCTATCACCGCTACAGCCTGAGTTTGATCCCCAGCCAGGGAGCTGACCCACATCACGCAGGAGACCTCTCCTGTCCCACCTGCTGCTCCCCTCATCAGTGGATTTCAGTAGATCTGCCTGTCTACTCCCCACTCTGTCCCAGGAGAATCCGCTCACTCCCCCCATACCTCTGGCCTATACCCCAGTTTTTCTACACACAAAAAAGGAAAGAAAACTAAAATTACCTGCTTGGGCGTATCAACCAAAGATGAAGCTGCGAGCAGAGTAAACGTGTGCAAAGACACGATCACCATCTTGGTGGAAGGGTAGGCTGTGACGAGCTGCTGCAGAAGCTGCCGGGCACTGGAGGCCAAGATGGCGTCATGGTGCATGTGCTGCAGGATCGGGATCAACCTCAGCTTCAAGTCCACTGGCGTGGCCAGACCTATAAACAGAGTTTCCCTGCGACTGCTGATCATCATTCCTCAGTTAATGGCTCACATCCAAAAGGTCCTACAACGAAGGTGACAAGCACGCAGCAGAGCACACAGTAACCACTAGCAACCACCATTAGCGTAAGTCTTGCATCACTTCATAATGCCAAACGGTCCCCACATACCTTGAATCATCTCACTGATCTTATTACAGATTCCCACAGCAAAATCCCTATGGGAAGACAGAAAAGCAAAATGTTAAAACCAAAAAAATAATTTTGCTGAAGTTTTCTAAAGACTTAAACAGCACAATCGGCACAAGAGAAACCAACACCCCAAACCATAACCAGAATTCCAAAGATGAACCCGGGGGTGGGGTACAGAACCGCACCGTGGCCACCAGGTGGGCTCCTGTCCCACTCAGGCATGCTCCTGGAGGGTCACTGGGCCAGGAGCGTGGCTGTTCTCTGCATGGCTGGGTGTTGTGGTCTTGAGCATCTAGGCCACCATCTCGTCAGCACCAGGTGGACATGGAACATCTTATGGGAAATCTTGGCAACACACATGATTCATGCTGCAGTTTTCACCTGAGCTCAGGTTTATCCTCCAACAGTGGTGCTGACGTCTTCACCTTTGGTGCCAAAGCTTGAGGATCAGTACTGAGGCCCCTACTGAGAAGTTCAAGAGGTGACACATGCCTTAACCCTGCCCTGCATGGGTAATAGCGCAGTGGCCCTTCAGCCTTGAGAAAGCAGGCAACTTCTACCACCACTAACTGCCAAGGCCTGAGCAGCTGTCTCCATAATACGCTGTAGGAGGGGCAGCCATGAAACACTCAGCAGCTGTGTCCAGAGACATGCCCAGCCAGTGGTCAGGTAGTGAGACGAGCTGGTCCAGTCTCATGAAATGCCAGGGGCATTCAGGCGTGGCTCTTTGCAGACCACTTCTCAAAAGAGGAATATAAACTCGGAACTTCAAGGAAACCTGGCACTATTTGTTGCCGACCTGAGCAGAAATTGAAATTTAAAGAAATTTTCCTCTGTCACCATCAGCTTGACAGTTAACTATTTAAAGACTTTCCTAAAAAGATCAGTGGTGACAGCAACAAATGTGACCATAGTCACTACACAATGAAATGAGCCAGCTCTGAGGAGACAAGCAGAACGTCAGGAATCGGGGTTGATCAAAGATCAGTATAGAAGTTATACAACCATAAGCAGGTGAGATTCCGATGAACTTCAAACTGATAAGATGTTAGGGTTCCCAATGTGATTACCCCTTAACAATGACCCCTTAATTGCCTACTTTTGGTTTAGTATCAAGTAAAAACACCACCAATTATTGACATATATAAAGCCTTTAAAAACCCTCCCCTCCTCCTCCACAGCTCTGAGGAGAGTGGTGGTTTAGGGCTAAGAATCGGCCTCCGTGGATGGAGCTTCTGCTCCCCTGAAGTCTTCTCCAGTGACTACTCTCTGCTGATCCCGTTCTTGTGGAAACTCTATTTTCCTCAGTTAACACCAATGTTTGCACTTAACATCTCTGTTTTACATACTTAAGTTTTGTTTCCCCCACACAATGGACACCCTCTTGGGAAACATCCCTCACCATTCACACACTGTTGTGTCCCCTGGGTCTGCACGCCTGTGCTGTGGTCCCCCCACAGCTCTTCCCCGGAGGCAGGCGAGGGGGAGGCCTGTGCTTACTTGGACTGTGCAGAGAAATTGGCAGCAGCAAAAACAGCAGCTTCAACTTCCACATTATCGTGGGAGTCCAGACTCTGGCGAATACTGTGATGAGCATTCTTCCTCTCAGGGATGATTGACGCCAGACTGCCCAGCATCCTGGGGACACAGAAACCCAGAACGGAAATACAGTTAAGTCCGAGGGCAGAAAAGGAAGACGCTAGGTTATTCTTGCTTCTTTTCACTTGCTTATTTCTTGTTACCGTTCTTCTAAAAAGTTCCCTGAATTTAGCTCACTTCATCTCCCTTAAACATGCTACCCCCAACTTTTTACTCAGTAGGCACTCCAGGAGCACTCCATGTTCACCTATCACCCTATTCTCTCTTCAGACTCCCTTTCCTCCTTGATAGAAGCTGGTTCTATGAAAATATGCCTGAGTGAAAAAATCAGATGCCTTTCAAATATTAAATGCTTTATCAATCTTCCTTATGAAAAAAATGGCATCATCAAATATTTCACAGAAGAAATGAAAATGTAATCACTTATAGGCCCGATAGCTTTTCAAAGATATATTTTAATTGCCAGGTTCTTTCTATTTCTATGGTGATTTTTAGACTTTGTGTTTCGCGTATCTTGGCCTTTTACACTCAAGAAAGTCAGCCAGTCCTGCAGGCTCATTTCCCATGAAGGGTAGCGATTCACAAATCTCATGCAAGTGTCAGCTCCCTTAATACACACCAGGTGGACTTTGGGCCACTAGGCCTTGCTTCCCCATCGGGGACTCAAAATATGACAATTTTTCCCTCTGTAAAGCAGAACACGTGAGGACGTGGCAGTACCAACCAGAAGCAGGAGCACCGCCGTTAGAGGCACACTCATGCCCCGTCATGCAGCGGCACTCTGCCAGCCTCGGGACAGCTGGTGTGCACACACGCATCTACTTGGATCCTGAGGCACCCAGCACTTAACAGCTAAAGACAGGTAAAATAAGAAACAACGATGCTGAAACTAAAGCAAGTTAACGAAGCTGAAACTAAAGCAAGTTAACGAAGGGCATAAAACTGGCAGTAACTCCATTCGTGGTTTTCAGGGCCCATGGTTTCGTGTTTTTTTATGTGATAATAAAACATGACTGACAAAGGAAGGCATGCAAAATACATAGAGAACTCCTACAACTCTGTAAAAAAGACAAATAGCATTTAAGAAAATCTAAACAATCGGGCCTCCCTGGTGGCGCAAAGAGTTAAACACAGCACTTTGAAGCTATCCACAGTCTCTGCAGCATCAGTTCGATCCCCAGCCGGCCAGGGAGCTACCCACATGGCGCAGCAGACCTCTCCCGACTCGCCCACTGCTCCCCTCAGCAGTGTATTTCAGTAGATCTACCTGTTCTGTTCCCCACTCTGTCTCTGATGAGTCCTCTCACCCCCTGCACCTCTGGCCTGTGCCCCAGTTCTTGCATGCATGCATAAATAAAATCTTTAAAAGAAAAAAGAAAATCTTAACCATCTAACAAAAGGAAATGGGCAAAACACTTGGAGAAACCCTTCTTACAAGGCATATGAATGGCCCCAAAGCACATTAAAAAGTGCTCAACTTCAAGGAAATGTCTATGGAAACCACTGTGAACCCATTTAAAATGACTAAGACCCTTGGCAAAGGTGTGAAGCCACCAGAACTCACATGCAGTTGGTAGGAATATAAATGGTGAATCCATTTAAGGGCTGGCATTTGTCATACAGTTAAATGTATATACACCCATCCTATGAGTCAGTAATTTTACTGAATTTGAGGTATTTATTTGCAAGAAAGGAAAGCATATTCACAAAAAGTCTTGCACAAGATTGTTTGTAGCACCATTATTTATTACAGCAATCAGAAAGACTGAATTACTGACAGAAAACATGGACTCATTTCAGAAATACTGAGTGAAAGAAGCCTTATATAAAAGTGTAATTAAATACTTTAAATCTGTATGATTCCACTTTTGTGAAGTTCCAGAAGTTGGCTATGAGAACAGTGGAGGCCTTTGGGGAGGTAGATGAGAGAAGTGACTAGGCGACTGAAGGAACTTTCTGTAGTGATGGCTAAGTTCTTTCTCTATATTGGGGTTGGGGCTACTTGAGCCATTTGTCAATACTTAGAAAAAGCAACTTAACATTTTCGTGTTTCACTTCACTTACTTCACTGTGTATTTCAATTGGAATTTCACAGTTTCATATTGTATATAACATTTGCATATTGCGTAAAATGAAATACACAACACCGTAAACAAACTTAACTCTAATTGATACACACGCTGAAATAAATAGGAAATATACTATCTTCAATTTATTATGAAATACATTAAAAATAGAGGGACAAACGTATAGACAGATGAACAAATATGTGATAAACCAAGTTTATTAAGAGAGCAGCAGTAGAATCCAGTGGTAGATAATTCAAGTGTTCACTGCAATGTACTTTCAACTTTGTTCAACTGTTACAATTTTTTGATAAAATGTTGGAAACAATTTTAATCTACATTTAATAACTTTAGTTCTAAGTCAAACATGTCATTTAAAAAGGTTTGTTGGGTCTCCCCTGGTGGCACAGCCGTTGAGCTCTGGGCTGGCCGCAGCCTCTGCAGCACCTGTTCAATCCCCGGCTGCCGGTGAGGGTCCCACATGGCGCGCAGACCTCTCCTGCTGCGCCTACTGCTCCCCTCTGCAGTGTATTTTGTCAATCTGCCTGTTCTGTTCCCCTCTCTGGCTCTGGTGAATTCTCTCACCCTCCCTCGCTTCTGACTGTACCCAGTGCTCGTATAAATAAATAAATAAACAAACAAACAAATAAATAAATCTTTTTTTAAAAGTAAAATAAAAAAGGTTTGTTAACAAGACATAATTTTTCTTAATTAAAATAGTAAATTATGTTTGTCATTTGCTTAACACACATTTTAAGTTTTCTCTATAAGTTCTTAAAGATTGTATTTTATAGACTTTATAATACAATGTTTAACATGGTAAATTTAAAGCAAAATTGTATTTTGTTTTAAGTCATTTTTATTAATAACACAAGAAATTATGAAATTGTGGAAAAACCTCTAAGGCTACTCAAAATGTATTATCAAGGGAGTCTAATACTCTCATACTGAGCTGACACTGTTCAGACTATTAGTTTGGGGTTGTTAAAAATACACTTTTACTTTTGATACACTTTACAAATTACAAACTTTATAAAGCGATTCAGTCATCTCCTACTCCAGCCTTTTTCTCTTCCTACTTAGTATGCACTTCCAGCTGCTTCGATGCAGCCCCCTATCGGGGCCAACTCCTACAGCCCTGTGTGTCTAAGCATCTCTTCACCACACTACTTTAAATGGCGACTGGGCTGGATATAAAATTCTTAGCTTAGATTTCCTTTATTACTTTGTACATCAAGTGCTACCGCTGAGAATTCCAATTTCAATCTAATTTTATTTTTTATAAAGCATTTTCCCCCAGAAAATCTCTAGGTTTTTCGAAAGCAACAGTTCTTACAGGAAGAAAGAAGGCAAAACTTAACTGCCGTGACTTGGGAAAGTGGGGAGCAGGCAAAATGACTGGGATATTTACTGCTGTCTCCCAATCAGAATAACCTATGTTGTAGAAAACAATTCTAACATTATAAGAGTACATGAAAAAGTACCTTGTGATTCTTAACCCATGACCACTATTCACACTATATATTCTTACAGAGCTGTCTAAGCGAGAAATTTATAAAATGAGTATCAATGACCACTTTCTTTAAACTCAGCATCTCTAGGTCACAGAAAATGCATTCTTTAAATATCATACTGTAGTTCACATATTAACTATTTCCATACAATTTTTCACCTTTTTCAAAAATGAAACTGTGATCATCTGCACACATACATTTACTAACTTTTAAAAATGTCTAATAGAAAAACAAGTGCTATAACTTACTGACTCAATGGGTAAGAATGTCATAAATTCTGTTCTATTAAATGTAAATTTTCAAAGAGAACATCAGTAGGCTATAAAATATTATACTCTGCTCACAATTTAATCACTCAAAAGACAGAGGAATCACAGAAGCACTAAATTCTCAAGACGAGGGAAGAACTGAGCCTGGTATAAAAACATGGAAACCTCAGGGAAAAAATGACATCTTAGACTCCATGGCTAAAGAGAACAGTCTTGGCAGGAACATCAGAAATGAGCCCTATAATTTAGGAAAATGAATTTGAAAACCCAAAGATGACACATACAGCTCCACACAAAGTGAAGCTACAAAGACAAGATCTTTCCACTTTGGATGGAGGATGTAAACAATGAAACTTTAACAAAATAAAGATTATTTTCAATGCCAAAAAAAATAAAAGGCTGAAGGAACTACAGTGGTTGCATGGGGTCTTTTCCAAAGATTTGGAATGTAAATCATCACATATACAAACAGGAGCACATAACCTGAGGCAGAATACAGAAACCTGACCTGAAACAGTAAGACAAAGGTCAAGAAGTGCAAGTTCAAAGTATGGTGGGGCTAACCTCTACCAGTGCTGCCTCACTTGAGGATAGGGCCTCCCTACAAAAAGTTAGGGGGTAATTTATAACCAAAACAGCATCACGGATACTAAGTGGAAAGCAGTTACAGATTTGGAGGGCTGTCATAGTTCAGCAATGAGCCTCAGTTGAACAAACAAAAACAAAATCTCAATATTCAAAATGGAAAAAGTACATACACAGCCCTTGTGGGGGGAGGGGGAAGGCACATGTGCAGAATATTCCACAGCGCAACCTACCGCAGGGTAATGGCTCGTGCCACAGGGTCATTGCTGTGGATCACAGAGAAAATTCTCTTCACAAATTCATCCACATTCAGAATCTTCTCCAAATGTTTCTCACTTTGTTGAGTAACTTTAAGAACACAGAGCCTCAGGAAGTTGTTTCTATGAAAAAGCAGAGACAAGTATGAGACAACTCAGCAAAGTCTTAATCAGGAATCAAAGCAAAGCAAGTGCCAGCACATCTCAGCAACAAGCCGAGGTTCGCCAATCTTGTCTCTTCGCTAGAAGAGCTGAAGCCAGTGCTTCCGGCGGGCACGAAACAAGCGGAGAGCAGCGCCTGTGCCAGAGCAGTGACAAGGAGAAGCCTGGGAGCTGAGCTACATCCTCTCCATCATGCTTTAGCTATGCCAGGGGTCAGTTCCTCTCCTCCCAAGCCAGTTCTACACTTTTCTCCTTCAAGTCTCATTGCGGGGTGGATGAGCACATAGAGCCCGCAGAATGGTGAGAGAGGGACGGGAACTGGTAGGGAGGAAAAAAGAAAGGTTTTTACTTCGTGCTTCCATGCTGCAGGCATATTACGGTAACACAGAATTTCACGTCATAAAATTAACTAAATGAAATCAGCAACTTCTCCAAACAGTCTATACAAAGCCACAGATACTTCCAAAACCTGAGGTAATATATTAAGGTTGTCTTCATTGCTTTCTCCTGTACCCTGAAGAGCTAAGTACTCTCTAGTTTATACTCATTTTTGCTCAAAACATCATTAAATGAACCACACACCAGAGAGTGCTGCATGCTGCCATGTACGGAGAGTAACACGGGAACCACCGTGTGGAAGTACCACAGGCAAGAAGAATAAAGAGCAAAATGTAAAACAAAGAAACATGAACAAAGGGCTTCAGGAAACTGCGGCTTTTAAAAGACTTACCCAACTCTGAAAACATCGGCTAACTTCAGGAATGCAGAGTTGATGAGAATAGGAAATGGGTATTTCTGGAAGAGCCTGGGAAAGCGAACCACCGCCTCGCACTGCTCACCCAGTTTTCCAGATCGCAGCCCTGGGAAAAGCATAAAAAGGGAAGGAAGGTTCACGATGCGTGGCCACAAGGGCAAAACCACTAAATATTCCCATGGTACTCAATAAAAAAGGTATATGACAAAACTATTTACACAGTAAAATGACAGCCACCCTTGGCGACCAGGAAAAAATCAACTGTTAACACAGTACGTGCTTAAAAATAAAATGGTGGACTACCATGGCATTGATCTGACCAATACGAGGTGGAGACAACTGAGATGGGGGGACTGAGAGTCATGAATGAAAAAGCAGCCACTTGCATAGATGTTGACAAGTCGGCGGGGACTTGCTCGTGGTAGCTCAACCTGCCTATTCAGGAACAAGTTTTGAAAACCTGGCCCTGCAGGGATGTTTATGAGCAGGGCATCCTGACAGTGCCCCCTGCAATGTGGCATAAATGCGGGCTGGGGGTTGTAATCAACACAGTCCCAAAGCCTCGTCCAGGTCTGGTTAGAGCCTCCAGGGACTGCAGGGACAAGTGGCCCAGCTACCAGGAGTGAGTCTTGGGCGTGCACTCTGAGAAACTCTGGTCTGGAAGTTTCCGAACTAAAAGTCATTTGGAACTTAGCCTTCTAACCCCTGCTGTGGCTCAAATAGGGAAATACCTTAGCAGGTAAAGGATGAAATGGCTGCACACTTAAAAGCCCGTTCTAGCGGCTATTTCCGTAATCCACGATACACTGGCCAAGTGTAACTGATGGAGTAGCGGTGACCAAGAGTTTGCCCCAGACAGTGAAAATCCCTGCTGCCGGGTTTCGGCACCTGAGGAAGGATGACCTGTGTCTCGGGCAGATTAAGACTGCTCTCTCACACCACAAATGGGTTAGCATTTATGCCCATCCTGCCAGTTGCCTGGGGCTGTGCCCACTGTGCAGGCCAGAAAACAGGCCGGCGGCCACCTGCCTAATCGACGGCCCTAACGGGAGGCCTGGACTGCACTCGGTGGGCGGCCAACACTCCCCTGGCTACACAAGCGGCCCGGGCCGCAAGGACGTGGGAGGCGCGGAATTTGTTCGCTTCGGGGGTGCCAGGGTCGCAGGAACCCCGTGCTCGCGGTCACGTCGGCGTGGACAGCTGACGCCGCACTCCGGCCACCAGGACTCCGCGCTAGAAAACGCTTTCACCGACTCAAGGCCACAGGCTGGCGACCAGCAGGCCGATGGCGCCGCCCAAAACGCAACCGGCCGACGCCGCCCGCCCAGCCCCCTTCCGCCCCCTCAGCCCCCTTCCGCCCCCTCCCGCCCCTGCGGCCCCGCGTCCCCACCCCCGCGCCACGCGCATGCGCCGGCCTCGCCAGGCCCCTCCCGTCCGCCGCGTCGCGCCCGCGAGCCCGCTCGTGCCCTCACCTTTGTCTAACTCCATCAAGGCGGAGTTGGCATCCAGCTCCTGCTCGCCATAGCCGGCATCGGCGAGAAACGATTTGGTCGAGTTTGACGCCATGATTGGGAGCGTCGGCGACTCGATTCCCCCTAATCAGAAAGCGGGCCCACGCGGCCCCTCACCGCCATCTTCCGCCACCGCCTGGTCCCCGCCCTCGGCTCCGCGCGGCCACCGCCGCGCTGCGCATGCGCCCTGGCCGGCTCCCCCGCCCGCCGGCGCCCGGGCAGCCCACAGCGCAGGCGCTCTGAGCGCTCGAGGCGGCCGGAGGCCCGCGGCGAGGCGGCAAGGAGGCGGGGCCGGCGGGGCAACGTGCCTCCGCGGCGCCCGACGCGCCGGCGCCCGCCAATTGGCGCGCGTGACGTCAGTTTGGCGGGGAGTTTGGTGGCCGGGGCTTACGGTGGCGGGAGTTGGAGGCGGCCGCCCGCCGCGTTCTGAGGGCGCGAGCCGTGCGTTCGGCAGACCGCGTCCGTCGATGCTCTTCCCTCCGTGGCGCCCGCCCTCCGCGCAGATGCTCTTCCACTCGCTGCTCCGCCAGCCCCGGCTGGGCGCCCCGAGGCGCGGTGAGTAGCGGCCTTCAGCCGCGGCCCCTCCTCGGCCGAAGCCGCCGCCCCGCCGCGCGCCCCCGCGGCCCGAGGCCTGGCCGGCGCCCTCTCCCGGCCTCGGGCCGCGCTCGTCCTGGGCGCCCTCGCCGCGCAGCGGGGCGGGGCGGGCGTTGGACGGGCCTGCGGGGCGGTGGGGCGGCCTCGCCCGCGGGGGGCCCGTCCACGCCGCGTCGGGGCCGATCCGCTCGTGGGGGCTCGCCGTTCGCGACGAGCCCCGGGAATCCGCCCACCCGCGCCTCAGGAACGCGGCGGGCGGAGGAGACAAAACATCTGCTTCCAGCATGGCCCGAGAAAAAAAGTTCCCCCTGATGGCGACATGTTCCTAGAAATCCTGGAGATCGAGCAGCGAAAATGCCCAGATCCTTCTCCCCCCGAGTCGGCCGCGCTTCGCGGATCGAAGGAGGGGGCTCCCCGGGACTTCTCGGCGCTCAAAGTCGGGCGGATCGGCATTTACAGTACCCCCAGAGAGCCCGAGCCTATTTTTTCACGGGGGCACACGGTCGTATTTTTCGGTTTAGCGGTGTAGGTTAGAGGTTTACTGTCTCCGTGCGTAGAAAGCCAACTTCTCCCCGGTTCCTGAGGTTTCTGAGGCTCAAATATTGGAAGTGAGAATTTTGAACGTAGGGGGGATGTCAGCACGTTGAAACTTTACTTTTTGATAAGTTTCTGATAAGGGGGTTACCGCCCAGACCAACTTGGGTGGAAATGAGATCTCATTCATCAAAAATGGTCTTCTTCCCCCCGAAGCCATGTGGAGAACAAAAAGAAAAGAATTTGAGCAGGGAACTTTTTGTGTCTGAGCTTGGTAGAAATGAAATCTCATTCACTTGAACGTGGATTAGGTCTTTTTCCCGTCATGAGGCCATGTGGAGAACAAAAGGAAAAGAATTTGAGAAGGGAACTTTTTATATTTAAAGCATTGGTCTAGGAAAATGGGTCTTGAGGAGAATGCGAAGGAGTTCTAATACTTCCTGCCACCCGTCTAAACTGTTATGCCGTCCTTTCCTCCTTCCTCTTAATTAATCTTTTTAGTTATAGTCGAAATGCCTCTCTTTCGGTCTCCTAAGATTTGAGGAGCTGCTGTATCCTGTGTCGTGAGTGCACAGGATAATGGTTGACAGCCCTGTCTTTGGAGTTCTACTGCCTCAGTTTTAATTCCTGCTCCCCTCCTTCCTATGGGTGTGCCCCCCCCAAAGCAAATTTGCTTTTATGGCAGATTTTCTGCTGAAGCTCCAACCCATGTGTCTAGTAATTTTTTCATTCATTAATATTATGTGTTAGGCATCGAAATTCCCTCATTTTTATATATTATGCACTAAAATTTATAGAATCAGCTCTCTTCCCCTCCCCCCACCCTTGACGTTATATTCTTGGCTCCTCTGATCTTCTACTCCCCTTCCGCGCATGGATGATCCTAAACCTAAGTAGGTCTCCTTCCACCACCTACAACCCTCTGTTCTCGGTACTTCAGATTTATTACTATAAAACCTGAAGGAGTGTTTTCACCCAGAGTCTCAGTCCCCCAGGCATCCTAAACTCAAATGCTCAGAACCAGACTTTCCCCATACCTACTATATTGACCTGTTTTAAGTAGTATCCCCATTGTTTCAAATGCGCTTTTGACAGCCAGAAACCTGAGTCCTCCATCTTCCTCAAGGTACACATTCAGAAGGTTCCCTTAAAATTCCTTGAATGTGCCCCTCCCCTTGGTCGCCACTGATCTAGCTGCCCTACTCTGTCTGGTTGGTGCTTACCCTTTCCCCGGGTAAGGCCCTAATGCCTTCTTGTCTGGCCTGTAACAAATCTCCCCAGTTTCGCTCTCCTGTCTATTGTCCACTTTGTTGCCAGTGAACTCCCTAAAATGGAAATCTGATTACTCATCTGTGTATCTTTAAATTGGTAGCTAAAAGTTTTTATCATAACCTTAAACAGATATTTTAGACCATATGTGAATATTGACATTTTGAAATTGAAATGCTACGTCAATTTTAAGTTGTAGCTAATAGAACATAATCACTACAGTAATTTCATAATCACATTCATTTCTGTAAAATACGAACACATTCAGATGCTAGGTGGTCTACACGGTTGCTTTACCCCTTGAATTTATTTCCACTTCATTTCTCTGGCAGTTTATCCTTACATAACTTGACTTTAAGCTCAAAAAGTTATTTTATCCATTATCTTGTCATATTCTGAAATGTTATTTTATCCAGTATCTTGTCATATTCCTCTATGTAAAAAAAAGTTTAAATTGATGTTTGTTGTAATCGTAAGACTAAATGTTAAAGTTTTTTTTGGTTAAATTACCCTTACGATTACTAATAGTACAAAATTGACCAGAACAATATAGATTACTGATTTTGATAGTCATTAAGCAAAAGCAAAATTTTGTTGTTAAGTATGTCTTTCAAAAAAGATGGATTTAGGTGATTATGATGCTTTTACTAAAGGAATTTTCCAGTTGTTTTAATACCTTGGGTCAACGCAAAGTATAAGATTTAGTATGCACATGACTTTTGAAAAGTAGCCAAGAGGCACTAATGAAGGTAGAGAGGAAAAGGAAGGCCTCAACGTCTCTGATCATTTTAGACATGTACACATATGAAAATCTCGTGTCCGAAAATTAAATCTGAAAGCTCATGTCCTCATACACTCCTTGAAAAGTCTGCATGTTAGCTGGGCTTAAGGTGTACACTGAGGAAAGGAAGGACCTCTCCAAAAGAGTGTTGTGTGGAAAAGCATTACAGGTCCAGATATAAGGATCTGGAAGCCATTTGAGACTGGTTCATGAAGAGGGGCGCGTAAACACGGGGTAGTGAGGGACTCGGTACTAGGCCCATTAACTGTGCCTTTTGTTGGCATTTGGGTATTAGTTTGTAGGCAGTGAGGCGATGTTGAGGGTATCACTGTTTAATTGTAAAAAATTTGGTTTCCAGAGCATATCAGCTTCAGTCCCACCTAAATTGTTGGTGATTTGGTGTTTTTGAATGTGGGTGTTGCCAGTCAAGATTTTTCTTTGGATCCCAAACACAGTGTACATTTATGTACACTTAGAAAAGAGGCTTTTCATGAAATTTATTCTTTAGGTGAATGTTTGTGAATAGTCTGCTACAACAAAACTAGTGAGTTCTTTTGGTATTCTTTAATTATTTGTTCACAAAGATATCTGACCTTGAGGTCATGGCCTCCCAGGAATGATTACTAAAGCTGAATGCAATTTCTTTTTTACTGATTCCTTCAGGTTATCTCCATGCCCATCCCAAACTACATTTTTCTAAATTTATTTTAGCCTAAGATGTCTTCTCCAAATATTTTTGGTGAAAAATGGGAATTGCCAGTACTGCCTCCCCCCTTCAAAATGTGAGTTTCCCAAGTGTTTTGACAGTGCTCAGTAGATTGTAAATTCCTTGTTCCTTTTGCTTGAAAAAAAGCACAGTGCTGTCAAGCTGTTGCCAGACACTGCAGCACGAGTTCGATCCCCAGGCTGGCCAGGGAGCAACCCCACATGGCTCAGCAGATCTCTCCTGTCTTACCCACTGCTCCCCTTAGCAGTGTGTTTCAGTAGATCTGCCTGTTCTGCTCCCCACTCTCTGGTAAAGCCTCTCACCCCACCCCCACACCTCTGGTTTACACCCCAGTTTTTAGATGCATAAATAAACAAATTTTTTTTTAAGTGGTTCTCGGGAATAATAAATGTTTCATTTCCATATTTAAAATGTGTTAACCCACATATCAGTGATAAAACAAATCTTTGAAGACAGTTTACTGTTTGGAACAATAAAGTTTAGGTCTGACTCAAATAGAATGAACGTTTCTTCCTCCCTGGATCTCTTCTTGTCTTGGACATTCAGTGAGCATCAATTCATCTCTCAAGCTTATGTTTATTTCCCCTCTTCTCAAGCCCCCCACCCCACCCCATACTAGTATTTGCTGCCCAAAGTGATTGTGCTCTGCAATGAGTACATGACTTTTCATACATACAGTTTTTGCACTGCTGTAAGATTGCTCTAGTAGACTTTAAGATACTATGACTTACTGCTATTAACACTTTCAAATCCTAGCATTTCAGCGCTGCAAAGGAAGGAGGAGTGAAATTATTTGTTTGTATGTCAGTGACTGGAGCTGCACCTTGATGCACATCGATTCCTTTAACTCTTTGACCACTGAATTATGTCTGATGCAGCTCGGAACTAGAGATCTGTAGGAATGTTGATTTAGAAATTGAAAACAATTGAAAAGGTGGTTATTGTAGTGGCAGTGCTTTTGTGGTTGTCTCTTGGGTGGAGAAATCTTTTTTAACATACAAAGGCCGCTTATTTCTTGAAGTATTTGGCACAAGTCTCCATTTAAGATAGTAAGCCCAGAACTACCACACCAGAAGTTGGGGGTGCGCGTTCTTCTTCTGAGAACTCATAAGAAACTGTATTCTAGAGGACCGTGTAGAGCTTTTCTGTGCGTTTGTCGGAAGTACTGAAAGAACTTGGGGATCTCTGAGAATGTGTCTTTTTTCAGGGTGGTCTTCCCAGTACCCTCTGCAGTCCCTTCTTGCGGGCTACCAGTGCGACTGCAATGATGAACACACTTCCTATGGAGAAACGGGGGTCCCAGTTCCGCCCTTTGGATGCACCTTTTCTTCTGGTAAGAGAATTGCAACCTGGCGAGACTTAGGTGATCTAAAATACACTAGGGAGTCTCCCTTTCAAGAAACAGTAAGTTAGATAAATCATACAGCTTTTCTAACAGCTGTTTTCTCCTGGTTTATGAAATAGACTTTTCTTAAATCTCCAGCAGAAGTACGCAATTCCGCTAAAGAATGTGACTGTCACAGTACCATTTTCTTGTCCTGACTGGCAAGGAGAAGGATCAGCTGTCAGGAAAACTGTTTTGCCCAGAAGGATCTGATCAAGTATTTCTGGAATGCATCGGGGAATATAGGAGCAGAAGTAGAAGCACTCCTCCCCGCTGTTTATAGTTTAAAAGAGGAAAGGTAGAACACTGTGAAGACAAGTTAAACCTAACAGACTGAGCCCACCGGGGGCCAGGACCGTGGGCCTGTATTTGCTGTGAGCAGAACCACTCTTTCTGGAAGTAAGTAACAGTATCAGGAAGGAACTTTGGTGGCTCTAAGTGACAAATTAGACAAATTTTAAGCTATCTTTCATTCAGATTACCTCCCTGCCATAGCTGGTGCCACTTGGATAGAATCATCTTCCTTTCTTTCAAATACATGCTTTGTGGTTATCTTGTCGCTTCCAGTTACTCTCTACTTATGGATTACATGGCTTTATACTCAGCTCTGAAATGTCTGTTTCACGGTTTATACATCTCATTTTTATTTCTTACTCAGCTCCTAACATGGAGCACATACTAGCAGTCGCCAATGAAGAAGGCTTCGTGAGATTGTATGACACTGGGTCAAACACCACTAAAAAGAAATGTGTCAAAGGTAAGCTGTGATTCAGCATATTTTTAGTTAAAAGAACTTCAAGTCGATTATTATTTGAGGACATCCCCAATTACATTCCCTTGTGATGAGCTTCACTGAGGGGCCAGGCCATCAGTCACTTAGCTATGCCAATGCCTTTACTAAAAGTTATGCAAAAGACATTTTAGGATTAAAAATCATTTTTAAAATGTTAAATCTTTAACACTTACGTGGTTTGGGGGAGCATCACTGTAATGTTTGTATCAACCAAGCGTGTCCTGTAGATCAGCCAAAGTTCTGCTCTTAAGCTGGTAATTTGGAACTGAAAATTGTCGAAATAACTGAAGTAAAAGATGCAGAGGATATAGCAGTGAAGAATACACTGTAAGCATCAGAGAAACTCATGTCATAAGGTTGACGGGGAAACTTCATGAAGGCCAGGCTGCTCGAGTTGAACTGTGGCCTCTACCCCAAGGGAGTTTGGGTCCGGTGGTCGAGGTAGGGAGTGGTGCACTCAGGAGGCTTAGGATAGGAAGGCAGAGGCCATATAGGAAAGAGGGAATGCTCCAGTGGGCTGAGTAAAATATATGGGGCCTGAGAGAAAAGTCCTCCACATACATAGAGGGCTGCGTGGCCGACTGTTGGAGACCCCATTTAGCAAGCATCCTGAAGATGTTTCAACTGGAGAATGTTTCAGAAAGATTCCCTTTTAGAGAATAGTCGGCTCAGGAAAGGCATTTGTTCTCAGATGGTGGGTCCCCTTGTGGTCATGGGGAGCGTGTGGTGTCTGTGAGTCCACAGATTCTCTTGGCCTATGGGTCAGGGTGGTGGACTCTGCTCTCTTCACTGCAAGGCATTCGGAGGCTGTTATATGCTGCTGTTCTGCGGCTGCCATAGACCAGTCTGGACTTTGACATCACCATTTGCTTTGTTTAGAATGGATGGCGCACTGGAATGCTGTTTTCGATCTGGCCTGGGTCCCTGGGGAATTTAAACTTGTAAGTAAACTTGTATTGTGTTGGGACCTGGGCAGATACTGGTACAGAATTGCTCTATTAAATTGTGATATCTGATTTTTGAAAGGTTACTGCAGCGGGTGATCAGACAGCCAAGTTCTGGGATGTGAAAGCTGGTGAGCTGGTAGGCACGTGCAAAGGACACCAGTGCAGCCTGAAGTCGGTTGCCTTTTCTAAGTTTGAGAAAGGTGGGTTTGCATCTCCTCTTCTGGAAACTTGCCAGATAGATCTATTTTCAACTCTTATTTATACTCACTGTCGATATTCCTGTATTTCACTATTCCACAGAGGAGGAGAAGTTGAAGACAGAGACTACACAACAGTGTAGTAGCAGCTAAGGGAAATTTAGGGGTGTCTGGATGAGCTCTTTTCTGTTTTTTTTTTTTTGTTGTTGTTGTTCCTTTTCTCTTCCATTTGTTTCTCACTAATTTTTTTTTTTTACAAGCAGACTAACATTCATCACAAAGAAATGATTGAATTAAGGTGACTTTACTCTTGAATAATAGTGACAAACAATGTGGTTTCCTTTTTCATCTGCTTTAAAAGGGAATATTTTCATTTATTCAACTGACCACTTGGCAATGTTCAATATAGTTGCTGTGCTGGTTTGATATCAAAAATGTCAGTTTCAATCTGCTGTGATAGCTGTTGAGAATGGAGCCATAAAGAGGAACTGTGTGGCATGCTTTCTGTCTCTGCATAACTCCAATAATGCCTCTGTTGCAGTTGTATTTGTGCAAGAGTTGACCCTGAGTTTATAAACAATTGAAGATCACAAATAACTAAAGGTAAATTTACTTACAGGGCATTAGAAAAGGGAAGATCATATCTTTTGATTCCTTTTTCCAAACATTAAGTATCTGTTTGTGGGAAGGTGCCGAGTTAGATGCTAGGGCAGTTGGCTTTTGTTGCACCCTGTGTGGGCTGCAGCCTTCCCTAGAGGCCCTGTGCTTTATACTGTGTTTCAGGCCACTGAACTCTCGCAAAGTCATTTTAACCACCTGGACCTTCATTTCCTAAGTTACTGAGATTAATGCCTGTCCTCTTAAACTCACAGAAATACTAGAAATGTAAAATTGAGGTGAGACGTGTATGTAAATACATGGCAGAATGGTGTATTACACATGTAAGTGCCATGGAAATGTTGATCTAAATTTCTCAGCCTTCATAGGCCTGGTACACATACCAGTAACAGGGAGTCTGCCTGCCCTGCATGGCTGCCTGGAAGCAAGGAAAATTGACTCACATAAGGAGAACTTCTAGGATCACCAAAAATGAGTATGAATATATTTCAGCCCCTCCTACAAATCTGCCTATATTTGCTCCTACACTTTCTCTCCTTTCTTCATTGTAAGGATAGACCTTCCCCCAAGCATGGGCTCTCGGCCTGGCTGTATACTAGGCCCCTGGGGAGGTTTTTAAATTATTAGTTAAACGTGCATGTCTGGGAATTGGACCAGGTGTGATCTTTAAAGGTCCTCCAGGAATTCCCATATGCCATGTTTCTAAAGGTTGAGAAACCTTGATCCCCCACCCTGACCTCCTCCATCATTTATGTCCCTAGCTCTGCTCTCTGTCAGCTCTTTCCCCGTCACCCCAGCATATCTGTGGCCTACCCCCAACATCCTGACCTTGTGTTCTCCTTCACCTGTCACTCCTCATGTCTCTCCTTGGTTGCTTGAGGTGGGTCACAGCTGACTAGATTTGCTTCTTCTGGTGTCTACTCCCGACCCTTCCTGAAGTCTCTCTTGCCAAGGTCATTCACTATCTAATTGTTAAAAGCAGTGAAACTTCTCAGGCCTTTCTTGTAGTTGTGCAGTATTTGACAATATTTGAGATAAAAATGCATTTCTTCCCCGAAGCTGTGATTCTGTCCCTTTCAGGTCTCCGTCTTTCCGCTTCCTCCTTCCCAGCTACTCTGTGTCTGCACTTCCTTGCTAGCTTGATGCTAGCCTAGCCCAGGATTGATGGTTGCTTGTCTTGTCCTTTTGGTCTGTGCCCTCTCCCGGGACTGTTTTATCCCAATTTCGATGTGTTCTTCGCTCCACTTGTATGGAACAAGATTTCTCTTTCCTGCTTTCACCGCCCGAGAGCGCTTCTGAGCTCAGGTTCCCCTGCAGCAGCCTCTTGCCCTGCCCTTTGACCACGTTTCTCCTCAGGGCAGGACTCCATCGCTTCTCCTGCAGTGCACGGTATGGTCAGAGACCCCCTTTGTTTTCCCTCAAGGTGTATTTTATCCTCATTCTTCAGGGCTCTTTTTGTTGAATATAAAATTCTGGGTTTGTTGATTTTTTCTTTCAGTATTTGGACATGTTGTTCACTGTCTGCCCTGGTTTCTGTCGAGAGCTCTGGCATTCACACCCCCACCATCACCCCCGTAATGCCAGCCTCCTGACTGCCTTTAGGGTTGTCTGGTTTCCACAGTCGGATTGTGATGCAGTGAAGGCTGGCTCCTAGCTCATTTCTCCTGTGAGGCCTGCAGACTTCTAGAATTTGTAAATTCACAAATGTGTTCCACTGACTCTGGGTTTTTTTCTGCCGTTATTTCTTGAAATATTTTTTCTACCCAATGTTTTCTCCCCTCTCTCTGGGACTCCAGAGACTTTGGTGGTTATTTTTTCCAATTTTCTTAATATTTGTGATATTAACAACATACCATAAAATCCACCCATTTGTCAGAGTATATTTAAATGCACTTGCAGAGTTACGCAACCTTCACTACAGTCTACTTTTGGAACATTTTTTTCAGCCCGAAAGAAACCAGAACCTGTTAGCAGCGCTTTCTGCCTGCTCCCAGCTGTGCATGACCTCTGCACTACTCTGTCTCTGGATGTGCCTGTTCTGTGCCTTCATGTAAACATGTAGCGTAACGTGCAGGCTTATTTTCCCTTTCTTCAGGTTAAATGACTTCTGTTGATCTGCCTTCGGGTTCACTGAATTTTCTCTGTTCTCTCCATTCTACGTTTAAAGCCTGCCCAGTAGATTTTTTCATTTCAGAAATCATGCTTCTCTCTCTGCTGAGGTTTTTTTGCAGTTTATGAATATCTATTTCTCTACTTAACATAGTTACATCTTCTTTAAGCCCTTCCTTGATAAAAACCAAACATCTTGGTCTTGTCAAAGTCAACCTCTGTCAATTTCTTTTTCTGTAAGAATGACTCACTTTCCTGGCTCTTTGAAGGCCAGATCACCAAGGATTATACCCTGAGCTTCAGGAGTGGTGGGTTGAACTCTGGATTCTATTCTTATATTGCTCTGAAAAGAGTTGGTGTTTGTTTTTTAGCTCAGACTCAGACTGCAGGAGGGCAGCGTTCAGTCCTGATGCAGTCTTTCATTTATGCTTTAGCTACAGGCTGCCTTCAGTTTTCCCTTGCACACACGGTTCAGGCCAAAGAGTTGCATGAAGTTTAAACAGAATTAGGATCCTCCCTCACCCTGGCACCTCTCACTGCCTGGTCTCTCCTCTTCCTAGTTGCTCTGACTTAAAAGGCGACAGGGTTTTCCTGTTGGCATTTTAGTTGCCTGGTGTTGATACAGTGTGGCTGCCCTTGGGTAAAACCACAAAACCAGCAATGTACCCCAAATAAGGAGTTGACTCCATCCCCAAATTACCTGCTTTTGTTAATTCTCTATAAAGCCGTCCAGTGGGTGGGGTTTCTGTTTGGTCCAGAGTGTCAGCTAGTGTCCCCAGTGTTCCTGTCTCAATCCAGTGTTCTTTTCACATCCCAGAGCAACCCCTGTCTCAAGTTTGTGCCTGGCCCAATATCCTTACTGAGACCACACAGCTTAGAGGTGTGGGCCCCGAAGCCAGAGTGCCAGGACTGGCTTTACATGCAGCTCATCCTTTCTGTGCCTTACTTTCCTCATCTCTGAGGTGGGAATCGTATCTCCCTGACAGGATGAAGAACAAGAATTGAGGTGATTCATGTAAAGCGCTTGGGATAGTTAGCGTAGGGTCATGCTGAATAAGCACTCAGTATATTTTGGCTATTTCTGTTTATCCCATTCTTCCTATAACTTGATGTAGTATGTTTTAAGAAAATTTGCACAACGAAATGTACCAGACTTTCGCTCAACATAATCACCTTGAGCTCTTTGTAGTCCTTCTCCTTCACAGATTTATTTTCTCTTGCTTGTTGCTGATGCATGTAGTTTTTCATTTTTAATCTCTAGTGCCAACTTTAGTATCTAGCATATAACGTATTTTGGACAACTTAAATTGAAATGTGTCATTGGCTGGTTTTATTAACTTTTTGATAAACTTTCCCCATAGCTGTCTTCTGCACAGGTGGAAGAGATGGCAACATTATGGTCTGGGACACCAGGTGCAACAAAAAAGGTAGTCTATTTCCATTTTAACTTTATTTTTGACAAATGTGGAGAGGATCTCATAATTTGAATGAAAGGGTTAGAGATTTCATCTGATTACCACCAGAGGGCACCTGTTCGCAAGTCCTTTTCTGCTCCTCCTCCCAGTTCTTCTCACAATTAGTGATTATTGCCAAGTATTACCCTGTGAATAGTTCTTAATGGAATGAAGTTATTAATACTTGGGTTTTTGGGCTTTAAAGAACTGAATTGTATTATATGTAAATATGCTTACAATGCAGTTAAGCAGAAAGCAGTGATCATCTCCCTGCTTGTTGGCTTTTTAATACACTTTTTTAGAGCAGCTTTAGATTCATAGCAAAAATTGTTGAGAAAATACAGAAAGTTCTCATACACCTCCCATCCCCACACAGCATCCCCGGTTATCAACATCCCATGATAGTGATATTTGTTACATTTGATGAGCCTCCATTGACACATCATTATCGGCCAGCATTTGTCTGTAGCCTGCACTGGCGTTCCTACTTGGCGCCCACATTCTGTTGTGACAAATGCGGTGATGTGTACCCACCAGTAGACTATCACGCAGAGCAGGTTCTCTGCTCTCTGCCCATTCGTCCCTCCCTCCTCCCAGCCCTGGCCACCACTGAGCCTTTCCCTGTCTCCTTGCTTCTGCCTTTCCCAGAATGACCTGTACTTGGAATCATAGCCCATTGCCTTTTTAGATCAGCCTGTCTCTCACTTAGTGATCCACAGTCAGGTTTATTCCAAGCCTTTGTGGCTTGGTAGCTCATATTCCTGAATGACTTTCCGCTGCCTGGATGTACCACAGTCTCACTACTTTCCTATGGAAGCACGTGTTGGTTGTTTCGAGTTTGGGCAGTTATAGGTAAAAGTGCTATAACAGGCATGTGCTCCCTTTTCATGCATTATCATTTATTACAGAACAGTGCAGTCGCCTGCTGGCTTCTCGTTCGCTAATGTAATAAGGACTATAATTAATTTTGAGGTCTATGTACAAATGTTACAGTCCGTATGGCAGTGCAGTTGTAAGAACTAAATCAGTTTCCTTGAAATCTCTTTCAGATGGATTTTATAGACAAGTGAATCAAATCAGTGGTGCTCACAATACCTTAGACAAGCAAACCCCTTCAAAACCTAAGAAGAAACAGAACTCAAAAGGACTCGCTCCTTCTGTGGTAAGGGTTTATATTATAGCAGCGTCCGTGCGTGCAGATCTTAGGGTAGGTAGCGTCTCATTCTAGGGGACTTTGCATATGAAATAGGAGCTGTAGATGAATGGGACTCTCAGTTCCTTTTGTTATCGATGGTTTATTTCTTAATGTTTCCTCAGTGGTTCTGGTAGTGTGTCTCATGCTCTTGTTACACCAGTCACCTGCAAAGAGCATTTAAACATCATCCTCTGAGCTGCAGAATCCAGATTGTTTGGAGAAGTGTGGTTGCTAAGCATGAGGATTTAAAATTGCATGTCATGAACAGGACATAGGCCTGAAAGGGACCTACAGAGTTGGTGCGTGGTCTTTAGAGGCCAGATGAAGTTAAAATGAGTAAGCTTTCACACATTTTATCAAATTCTGAGCCAAGAAAACTTTTTCACAGCAATTAGGAGGTAGAACTCCATTGAGTTTTTCAGAAGTAAGTTTTTCAGAACTTGTAACCTCGTCTTTCATCCATAATTCATTATACATTCCCATGTGGTAATGTAAGTCGGTGACACTCACAGATAAAACAGGCATGGGCAAGATCTCCTTCGGACGCCAAGTTTATTATTGGGGTAATTCCAAGGCAAGCTGGAAGCCGAGACTGTTAAACACTTTTAATTACCAATTTGTCTCTAGAGTGCTTGTCACAGTGGTAACACTCTTTACTATTACTTAATGATATTTTGGTCATTCCCTTGTTAAAAATATTTCCTGCTCAGCACACATCCCTGATTCAGATTATTGGAGAGAAAGGGTGTAGTCTGACTTAGTGTTGGGGGGGAGCCAGTGTTTTAGCACCTTGGTCTCTTGATGGTTAAGATTGTGAAACCCAAAGTACGATTTCCTTCTTCTCTTTTTCCTCCTCATGCTGTTAGGATTTCCAACAGAGTGTGACCGTGGTCCTCTTTCAAGATGAGAATACGTTAGTCTCAGCAGGAGCTGTGGATGGGTAAGAGTATTTTTTGCTTCTTTTGATGCCATTTCTTTCATGAGTTGTTACAGAGAGAAGTCTCCTAGTCCTATTACAATAGAACACATGTGCCTTTCACTTGCAACATGGTTAGTACCCCAGTGGAAAAGAACTACAGATCACACTGGAAATATCTAGTTAGTGCTCTGGCCCAAATGAGCTGATCCACATGTCACACGCAGCACATCATCTGGTATATGGGAGCAGTGTTGGCTGCTGCCACTGTGAGGGAAACGCTGTGCTGTGCAATAAAACTTAGTGATTCTTACTGTGAGGGTGACGTTTCCATTAATTTTTATATGAGGCTTTGTAATATCCTAAAAGAAGCAATTGGATTCTAAGCATGTAATTGGCATTTCTGAGAATAATTGGCTTAATAGTAAGGGCTGGTGACTTTCATGTGCCTGCTGTCCGCGATTCTCCTGGTCTGAAATTGTGGCTTCCAAATCAGTGCGTGGTGCTTGTCTGGTGGCTTTGTTAGAATTGGGGATAGGGGATCTTTCTTTTCTCACCCTCCTAGATCCCTTATCTGCCCGCTGTATCTCCCAGAATATCACTCTCTCAAAAATTTGAATATAAAAAGATGATTGTTTAAACTAGCATTTCCACACTGTCTTCTGAACACTAAAACTCTACTGTGGACCAAATTCTTAGGCACCAATGAAGTATTATCTAAAGATGACTAGTTGTGTGTGTGCATGGTGTGAAAGCTTGCCCTACTTGTTACCAAAAAGTCTGTCCTTTCATAGCAAGCTCATGTTTTTAAGTTGCCTACAGAGGATTAAGGTTATTATCCCAGTAGATGAAATGAAAAAAATATTTTTCTTTGTTTCACAGGAAAACTTGTTTAGAGTAGATTATCTAGGAAATTATATAGAGAGCCAGAGCCATAGAAGCAGAGCTTGTTACTTGTGATGTCAGCAGTTACATGCAGTGTGTTAAAGGCTTAGGAAGCAAAAACAATGAAACGATGACTATCAGCACCCCACCTTCAGCTTCCTTTTCCGCTCCCTTGGAGTAAACTCAAGGCAGTAACCCATCCCTGGGTCAGATCACATCTGTTTCCTTTCTGCTAGAATCATGAGCCTAACGCTGGAGATAGCAGCACGAGACAGTTCAGTCCTCACCGTACCTGGTGCATGTGCCAGAGGCGTCAGATTAAAAGTCAGTCCCAGTCAGTGTAGTTGGAGTTGAAGCTTGTTGCAGATGAGAGGCTGCAAAGTAACTATTTCTTTACCTTGTTTTCTAGGGTAATCAAAATATGGGATTTACGTAAGAATTACACTGCTTACCGGCAGGAACCCATAGCAACCAAGTTCTTCCTGTACCCAGGTAGCAGCACTCGAAAACTAGGTAGGTAAGCCTTTGTGGAGACTGTAGGACTTGGCAGGGAGGGGATATATTGTAAAGTAACTACAAGAGGTATTAAAAGAAAATATCAGGCTAACTCAACAAAGACTTGGAAAACTCATAATATGTAGTTGCATCTTTCTGAAGTTTGAAAGGTAAAATCTCAGAAGAACGTTATTGGCTTGTGCATATTTGGGGGAAAGAACTCCACTGATTCTCCTTGGGGAATGATCTGGTGCCTACATTTTCACACTCAGGTCTGTCCGCTCACTGTTAGCAGGACACTTACAAGCTTGGCTTTCCCCAGGGTACTCAAGTCTGGTTTTGGACTCCACGGGCTCTACTTTGTTTGCCAACTGCACAGATGACAACATCTACATGTTCAACATGACTGGCCTGAAGACTTCGCCGGGTAAGACCACGGCACCCACCTCCTGCCAGGAACCTGTGTGATATGACAATTTCATGTGTTCTTTCCCTAAACCCAGCATGTTAGGACAATATGGAGACTGTGGGGTCTTTGCTTAGTCCCAGTGACCGTTTCACAGGTGTGCTTTCTTTCATCTGCCATAGATAAACAGTCACACTTCATATCATCACTGCTTTCATTTGTGGTCTTTCCGGAGATCATGCCCCTTTGGCTCTCGATGTTTATGGGCTAGAGAAGGCTGTTCTGCTTCGCTTCTGTCCTGTTTGGGATGTTGGTTAAAATTAGGTGGCAGAGTTTTTAAGTTTCCATGTATGCGCTGACAGGTTATTTGGGTTACATTATTTTTAAGAACATTAACATTTACTTAAGCTGTGTTAGTAGCTTAGTTCTTCCTCGGGTTTTAGAAACTGGCTGGATTCTATAACCCATCCCTGGAACAATCCAGTTTTCCCAAAAGTAAGATTTCTGATGAGCAGGGGATCTCAAAAGAGTCCAGAACTCAATGGGCTCTTCCAAAAGTCTCCACAGGCCACCTCCAAGCCATTATTAGGGCCGTGGTTTCTGTAGCAGCCCCAGAATTGGCGTTCTCCATACCAGAATTGGCGTTCTCCATACCCTGGGCGAGGTTTGTCATCTAAGAGCAAGAATATTTAGAAAAGGGAAGTGGTTTTAAGTTTATTTTCCTATTTTTCTGAATAGAATTGCAACTTGAACAGCTCCAGTTTAATCATGTAGCACAGACCTTTCAAAATCTTTCTCCAAAGGATAAAAGCCTAATCCTAGTTCTAGTCCCATGTGTGTAAGAGAGCTTTCTCTGTCGTTGCAGTGAGCCACTGAAGGGGCCATCACCATCAGTCACGCCTAGTTATTTGATTAGTTGGGGAGGTGGGGGGGTGGAATGTCCCTTACGTTGAATGGCAAATGTGTGTGTGAGAGAAGATACTTTTGTTTTTCAAAACTTCCCAAAGGTCCTGACCTCCATAGTGGGGTCTCCCCTACTTTCAATTCACAGTTAACTGAATAAAGAGGACTCTGAAGCACTTTAAAAGACAAAGAAAGGCGAAATGTAGCTAAGTAGAGCCAGCACTGGCTTCGGAAAGATTTATCACATGGTTTGAGAGGCACTAATGACTTTGTACCACTCTGCTTTTCACCAGCAGGGGGCAGTAAGTAGTTGCACATTTCATGGGAAATTTGGGCGTTTCTTTTTCATTCATAGTTTGAAGTTGAGAAAGATGAGCAATTAGAGTCCTGGAGCTATATTCAGAATGAAGGGGCCTATGTCTCTTGGGGAATTATCTAGCATAGTAGGTCTATAATTTGTGTCTAATTTATGTCCTGCTTTACTTTCATAGTAAGTGATGTGAAGAATACTTGCTAGGTATGCATTTTCTTGAAAAGCTATAACTTTTTAGTGGTTTTTTCCAATTTTATTCTAGAAGAAGGGAGGGAAAGCTTTGTGAGCACTGACGGAAAACTTTTGAGTCCCTTAATAGTTCTTCTTTCCCTCTGCCAGAAGATGAGAGTGCAGTTTTTCCTAACAAATGTATCCTTACGTTTCCCCAGTGGCTGAGATTTTCCTCCTTTCCCAGTGGCGTTTTGATGCCAGAGGCCTCGGGTTTGGGTCCCTTGGGATGGAAAGGCCTGTAGCATGGTGCACTGTGGCAAATTGGACCACTGTCCTTTTGCTGTGGATAGTGAGAGTGAACACCAGACCTGAGCCAGAGTAGCTTGATGTCAGCCGGCTCCCTGCCCTGCAAGCGGCTGCTGCTGTTCAGTCCTTCTTCAGTGCTAGATTGAAGAGATTCCCACATCCCTGAGAATCGATCCCTAAGTCTTAACTCCTTTCCCTGAACTTTATCTATACTTTGTTTGGTGTGCTGTGCTGTCTAATCAGAAAGGAGTAAGATAGGAAATTTATCTAGATTTAAACTCTGAAAGGAAGAAAAGCTGATGTGTTATACGAGGGAAGCGCCCTCTCCTGGGGTTGGGATGGTGAAGGCCTCGCTCAAGGACTGGGTGTGGGCTCTGTTCTTACCCTGTAAGAATGTGTTTCATCACATGCTTCTCTGTCGCCAGCTTCATACAAAGTCTCTGGCTGAGATCATGAGATTGGGTCAAATCTAAAGCCTCTTGCTGGGGTTTCCTTCATGTGTCCAGTTCCCTTTTATTTGGTGAATGCAGCTTGACCATCTGCTTCAGTCTTCTGTAATTTGACAAGAACCGAGTAATTTGATTTTTTTCCTCTGGCAGTGGCTGTCTTCAATGGACATCAGAATTCCACCTTTTATGTCAAATCCAGCCTTAGCCCAGATGACCAGTTTCTAGTCAGTGGCTCAAGTGATGAAGCTGCCTACATCTGGAAGGTAAGTTGCCAGCCCCACAGAGTGAGGCTGACGTGTCCTTGCAGACACTTCTGTGCAAAATGAGACAAGCTTCGTGTCATCACATATCATGAATTTTCTACGTCAAAGGGTCAGCAAAAGTTGCTTCTTGCCTCTTTGTATAACCAAAAGCTCACGCTGATGGCTACAGAATCAATGACACTTGTATGGCCAGCGCATCCCGGAAATGGGCAGTCCATGTCCTCTCAGCTTCGCAGGTTGTCAGGAAATTCAGAGCTCAGAGGCCTTAGTTACTTTGTCCTGTTTCCTGGGGAAAAATAGGCTGTGCTGTCTCCTGTCCCGTATTTCCAAAGCCCCCTGCAGAACACAGTGTTCTGACCCACAGGTTCTGTGCCTGTCGCCCTCAGAGCCCGGCACAGGTGCCACTCACAGCATTTGTGTGATTGTGTTTTCTACTTTCCTGTAAGTTGTTGGTCTTTCAGGCTGTTACAAAGGTGTGGCCGCTTTATCAGTTTTTTTACATGGTTTTTCAAAACCTTTACAGATTTCCCATTTCTTTTACACAGATTCATGGTTTTTCCTTTTTAAAAACAGTGATTCTAAAATGACTATGCCAGAAAAATTAATCCTGGCCTTTTGAAGTCCAGTGGAGAAAGTTGAAATATTACACAAGTAGCACTTACTGATCGGGAGAAACAACTCTTACAGGAACAATCCATTACAGAAATGTCTGTGCAGGTGGAAAACAAAGATCACTGAGGAATTATTCTTCTAGGGCTAGAAGTTAGTGTCTTCTAGATCGCCCTGCAGTCACACAAGTGGCCTTGACATTGGTGAACTGACTGATTGGAATCCATCCATTTTGTATTTTTGAGTCATAAATGTCTAACCCTGGTAGACCAGGTGCCAGGTAGTATCATCAGGTCTTCTCTGGAAAAATCACGTCATCCTAAAAGTCACATCCTTAACTGTTAATCTGAGTACTGGGATAGTACCTGTGTGGTACAAAGTATAAATCTTCAACTTAATTTTGTTCAATTCTGGGGGAAATACTAAAAAGTGATTTCTTTTTTCTGTAGACCTAGAGTTGCAGAAACGCAACAACTACTTTGTTAAAGGTTTTTCATGACAATATCCTAGATGGTCACAAGGTAGAATTGTTCTTTCTAGTTCTCTTGTGTTGGACTTGTCTTCTCTCTCTGAAGGACGTTTCCTTCTGTCAGCTGTATTTTTAAATGTAAATTTGCTTATAAAGTGTACACTTGAGTCCCTGTCATGTGATAAGAGTTTTTGCCTAGCTCCTGTCTGTAAGAGCCTTTCAGCTTCAACTTCAAACTTCAACAGTGTGTGCCAACAGTGTGTGCCTCTGTCTTTTGTCTTTCGGGTTTCAATTTTGGTCTTGTGCTGCTTTCACTCCCGACATAGCTGAGAATCTTAATCCTACCAAAGTCTGTCTTTTTGTTTCTTTTTTCTTAAAAAATGTAAATTTCAGACATATCAAAAAGCTTAACAAGGAATTGTGCAAAAAATACTTGAGTACTGATTATTCTTTTTTAGTCATCTAATCATTTAAAGTAATTGTCATATTACCCATACATGTAATTCCGTGTGATTATGCTTAATCGCCACATAGTATGTTTGGGGGGTCTTCTCTAGTACAAAGGCCTTTTTGTTTCAGGGGTAAAGGTTGAGGGACACTCCTCTTAAAAGACATACAGTAAGATACTCGGCTGCTGTTCGTAACCCATATTCAGACCTCCAATCAGTGGCTCTCATTACTTGGGTGACCCTTTCTGACTTCCTTGGCTGGGTCACATGTCAGTGCTGAATGACGTGGCTCAGAGGTGATGTTCTCCTGCCTGTCCACACATAACTCAGTGTGCAGGCTCTGATACTTGAGACCCTGGCAAGCTTACCGCACCTAAAATTGAATTTGCCTAGTGAAGCAGCTCAGTTTCTCTTTTCCATGATATAAACGGAGTGTGGACGGGGATTGTAGTTTAAAAGCAGTTCCATGTAAGCCAAGTGTCATGCTGTTAGGTTGTCTTAAAAACTGCTACATTTTCAAAAGATTAGAATTCTCAAGTGTTGGGATTTTTTTCTGTGCTAAAATGTCATGAGCACAAGAGACAGATTCAAAGGAGTTTTAAATCTTAAAACAGAAAAAAAGTGGCCTTTTAATCCTCAGCATGATAGGAGAAATTGATATATTAGTCTCAGCCTGAGGCCTAAGACTTCAAAGTAAAGATTTCATACTACATTTTTTCTTTTTAATTTCCTACCCTTTGTCCCACCCCACCACTACCCCTCTTGCCTGGTTCATTTCAGATGCAGATGCTGCTAGTACTGGGGTGGTTATAAATAAACTGGCACTGTCATCCTGGCTGCCCAGCAACACTCCATGCCTGACACTGAGGAAGTGGGAGGGGCTCATGGAGGAAATAAGGCACGGTCTGGGTGCAGCTGCCAAGCAGAGTTTTGAGGAAACTCATCTTCAGCCCATGTTTCACTCTAGAAATCATTTGCTGAGGTCTGTGAGTGAGAGCCAGGTTCTTCAAGTGCCTCTCTAGTTCTGGGGATGCCTTCTTCCTGCATTGGGTTAAGGTCTTTACTCTTGAACCGGTTGAATGTGTAAGAGGGTGTTTTTCTGTGTTTTGACCATCCCCGGGATGCATAGATGACGGCATCTCCCAAACTTCAGTCATAAGGGGAGAAAAACTTTTTAAAAAATGAATTCATGTAACATGGAGTGTTTATAATAACGACATGACAGCAAATCAAAACTTTTGAATAGAAATGGAGGATTAAGAAGCCACTTGAGCTCTGGTAGAGGCAGTGAGTATACTGACTCATGCTGGCACCATCTGCATCCTGAGAGCACTGGTTACTGGCGTCGATGTTGGACGTTAGTTTTCATCACAACATCTCCTTCTGCTTGTCTTTTCTGGTTGAGGTAGAATTGATGTAATGTAAAATTCTTCACTTAGGTAGTTACAGTGCGCACATGCCATGATTTTCTTCTCATCAGGAAGAAACCCTGTATCCTCTCAGAATCCCTCCCTTCCTGCCCCCAGCCCCTGCCACCATCTCCCACGTTCTGTCTTTAGATTTGCCTCCTCTGGGCATTTCCCAGAAATAGAGTTAGCCTTCGCGTGGGGTCTGCCTGGCGCGTGACCTGACGTTCTCGGGGGCCATCCCGCAGTGTTGTTCTTGGTCCCGTGGGATGAAGAAGACCCCCGTGGCATGGACACACATTTTGTTTATCTGCTTCTCTGTAGGTGGACTTTGGAACCTACTTTTTGGCTTTATGATAAAGCGTCTGTGAACATGCACGTGAAAGGTCTCCTTTTGGACGTAGGTTTCCAGCTCTCCGGGCACTAGGGACCTAGGAGTGGACTTGTTGGGTCACAAGGTCATGGTTCTGTTAACTTTCAAGGAACCACCCCCTCTGCTTTCTGCGCTGTGTAAAATGCTGCCTTGCGTGTCTGTCCAGAACGTGCAGACTCTTGTGGCCATTGCATCCCTGCCTGTTGGTCCCATAGTGAAGAGTCTCTCCGAGGAGTCAGGTCTTTCTTTTTTCTCTTAGAGCTAAATATAGACATGTATGTACATCTGGCGTATGATTAGTTCTTGAAAATTCTGTTAGCCTTTTGTGTACACCTAGGTTCTCCTGCTTAGTGGGCTGCCTGGGAGCTTGAGCAAGGTCCTGTCATGAACTAAGAGCTAGTGGCGTGCTCCACTGTCCCACCAGGGATGGTCCAGAGCACGCAAGGATTCCACCCCTCTTAGCCTGTTAGTAGCAGTTCTGTATGGACTCGGCATGAAGAGAGCCATAGTAGGCGGCAGCCATCCCCCATGGAGGAGGGAGAGGAGAGTTTCTATGGTTCTGAGATAGAGACTATTTCCAAAGTCTTTTCTAAAACATGCTCCTTGGTGAGAGAATGAGTTACTGTTCTCATGACGTTGTAGGAGTAAGTGAGATCTTTCCAGATAATACTTGGGGAAAAGCATCTTTTTCTGTTACACTTTCATTAACCCGCCACACAAATTAGACCCTGCTCTTACCTTCTTTCACTTTTTGAGTCATTATACATGTGCCACTTAGCTGAAAGAGGAGGAGGAGGAATAATTGAGTTGCATAAGCTTGTGAATCAGTGTGTCGAATTTCCTAACTACAATCTGAGTAGTTATTAAGTTTGCTTAATAGGAGTCTATTAAGTTTGCTTAGTCATTTTCACGACTATTCTTTCCAGAGTCACCTCTGCTTTAGCTTCATACAAATGAACAATGATTCAGAGCCTCAGGAAAATGAAAATAAAATCATTTCTTTTTCAGGCACACATGCTAATAATAGTGATGTGAGTTGTATCCTCCATATTGTGCTGATTAATATCCATGGCCTCTGCCAGGGCTTGACAGCTCTGGAATGAGTCAGCTGTCAAATCCATGTCACCAGTGACCGGAGGGGCATGAGTCTTCAGCACATGTGTCACACGGCACACTGGCCCTTCTTTGTCCATGAGAAGGCTTACTTGAAAAGTTGAGGTTTCTGTAACAAGTTCAAAGTAAAGGAATATGGCTTTGGACTTTGAGTTGAAGTCAGTGAGTTTTAGAAGAAAAACTGTCCTCTTGTCCCCAAAGAGCTGGCAGCACCTCCCACATACCTTTGGGACCAGGAAGTAGTCAACTTAGTGTTCCTGGAAATAACCGCCGGGAGCCACGCTGAACGGGTAAAGCAGGACTGTCCTAGAGTGCTGCCTCCAGCTGAGCCTCGTCCTTCAGAAGGTTGATTGGCTGGGAGGGACGGCACCTGTCCTGAGTCGTGGGCAGCCTCAGCTGAATTAGCCCTGTCCCTCTGAGCTCAGCTTATTTACTTGTTGGGTTATTTTCATTCAGTTTTCTCAGCTCAGTGACAAACTGGCTGTTTCTTAGCTCTAAGTAGACACATCTAGTGCCTGTTGGTAATAGCCTTGTAGCTCTCGAAGGCACAGGGATGGGGCCCTATCTGGCTCTGCTGACTCTGTCTCTCTCTGCGCCACAGGTCTCCATGCCCTGGCAGCCGCCCACTGTGCTCCAGGGACACACTCAGGAGGTCACATCTGTGTGCTGGTGTCCGTCAGACTTCACAAAGGTTTGTAAACAGATGTCTGGAGTGAGTTCAAAATGTGGATGACAACCTTGTCAGTTTTCCCTAAGGTTGGCTTAAGAGTTGTGTAGATTTTCCTGTTAGAGATTTAAGAGCCACACGGTTTCTCCACCAGCATCAATCAAACATTTTCTGCTTTCTCTACCAATAGAGAGTGTTCACCAGGAGAGTCTTTCCTTTTCTAAATGTGGAATTAAATTTTTTACTTTAATTTGATTTTAAAGTAAGAAAGCCTATGGTGATAACTGGTCTTTCGTTCAGCGAGTCATCAACGTGGCACTTGAAAGATGACACCTTGATTCTTCACAGTCCAGTGTGGGTTTTCATGTGCCTGGAAAGTGTTCACTGCAGGTCTTGATGTGTAGATTACCTGTGGCTAAACCTACGTAAGAAGTGGCTTAAAAGTTTTGGTCACTCTGGGAGGGAAAAAAAAACTTGCTCGCTTAAAAAAAAATCTTGAACAGTGATTCGCAAAGACAAAATGCAGGCTGGCTGGGCCAAGGCTGTTCATTCCCTGCTAACCCGAGTTAAGTCAGTCTCCCAGCCTTTGCTGCCTCTGGCCTTCCGGGGCTTCCAAGTTCCCCAGGAGATCTCACTTCTGTGGCAGTCTCTCTCTTCTGTCACGATGCCACTTGGGGTTTGTTCCTAGTCCCATCTCTTATCTTGTCTGCCAGAAACTCTTCATGGCATAGCCAACAGCTCTCTAGGGTTACTATGAATTTCTTTCTATGTTTGAATTCTTGTGTGATCATTTCTATGGTCAGCTGCATGCAGACTGCTTTTTGAAAATTATTGCTTTAATCATCAGTAATTACATTTAAAAACATTTTCCTCTGAGACTCCATGTATCTTCCAGTGAAAATCTGCTTTTAACATGGAGTTTTGTGTCTTACTAAGGTGATTTTTTTTTTTAACTTTGCTAGTTATGTCTTTTTTTTAATCATCACATTACCCTTTTTCATTCACAGGACAGCCTCACAGTTCCTGACGGCATTGTTGGCCAGTGCTAATCTAATGGCTGCCTTTTTGTGAAAGGTTCTTTCATGTTCTCTCCTTAGAGTTAGGAGGCGCAACTATAATTTCACCAAAAAAAAAGAGCTAACCTTGAAAATTGGAAAAGCTTGGATTGAAATTATAGCTCTTCCTCTTAATTGTGGTGACATTGGGCAGATAACTTTCATTTTGTAGGCAAGGTTATTTGAGTACAAGACTCTCTATATTGAAGAATTAAATAAGATAAAGCATGTAAATTACTGGACACAGTGGGTGTTCTGTAAATACGAGCTCTTGTTGACGTAAAGTCACAGGCTTGTCCAGGCATTTCTGTGGAGCAGTTAAGTAAGTGTATCTTCTTTTGACCTCCCAGTAAGGAAAGGAAAAAGCTGCCAGTCTCTTGGGGGCCAAGACTTACGAGAACGTGTGTTCTTTTTTTCTCTCTCTTTAGTGACTGAAATAGCGAAATTATATAAACAAGTGCTGGGGAACAGCTCTGCTACCAGTGGCCATTTGCCACAAATGCTCTAGGCTGGGTGCTCTCTGCCATAAAAGGTTTGGGACCAAGATCAGGAATGGGAAGATATTTTTAAAGGGGCAAAGGTTATTTTTAACTTCTTCCAGCCTGGTGAACCTGATGTCTTCCCAGTTTGCACCTTCATCTATCTGAGAAAGACAGACTCAGGAGCGGCTCCACTCCCCCATCACAGCCAGCCACACTCATGGCTAAGCCCCATCTTGGAGTTGAACCCACCACTTCAGTAATAAGACAGGACCTGCAGAATTCAGAGGCATGGCAGTGACGTGCAGTGGTGGAACATTTGAGAGGGTGGGGCGGCACAGGGCTGTCTTGGTCACTGTTTCAGAGTGATACCAAAGGCAGTGAACATGCTTGCCCGCATCTCAAAGATAAAGTGAAACGAGCCTGGTTTTAGAGTAGAGCTATAGGTTAGTGAAAAATGGTAACTACAGCTATAGTAGCAGAACATGTACGATAAAGAACTTAGTTTGGAAAGCTTAGCTACTTGGGAATCCGGAAGGAGTATGAAAGTAAGGTGTAGAAGTTTGAGGTCTGTGAGGTACCCCTCTCTGCCCACTTACATCAGACAGAATAATTCTTGGTACTGAGCCCTTAAGGTCGCAGACTTTTTACTTTGCTGTCAGCCTTGATTGAAGCTGTTTGACTCCCTTCCTGGTTCTCCCCCTCAGATTGCTACCTGCTCTGACGACAATACACTGAAGATCTGGCGCCTGAATAGGGCCTTGGAGGAGAAACCCACAGATAAACATGCCTTAGTGGGCTGGGCCTCGCAGAAGAAAAAAGAGGCAAGGGTTGATCTAGGTAAGAGTCCTGTGCACTTTCCTCAGCCCTGTGTGGTTTGGTTGGCTCAGTTCTGTGGCGCAGACTGAGTGGCTACATTTCATCTTGCCTTGGTATGTTTTTAAAGGCAGGCACCATCTTCTTGACTTGTGTTCTTTTAAGTCACCATTTTCTGGGCATATTGTCATCTGAGTAAGGTACAAGAGTGCTGTGGTGGACTTGTTTTTTAAATGTATATCAAGTACCTACTATATGCTGGGTACATAGTTCTTAGCTACTGGGAATTTAGCAACAAATAGGAGTTTCACGAGTCCCAAGGACTTAGCTGAAGCTTTCGAGGCCGTAAATAGGTTGAAGAAGGAGACCAGGTTAGTGTCTATTGAGTAACAGGAAGTGGGGCAGGGAGTAGGCAGAGCAGTCTGTGGACACACAGGTATCGGGGCCAGGGAGGCCTAAACGCAAAGGCAGCATTTGCACAGAGGAAGCGAAGCAGTATGGTGTGACCTGTCACAGCATCCAGACAGGTGAGGCGGCACGTGCAGGGGCCTGGAGCAGGAGCACGCCTGGCTTCTTTCCTGTCCTCAAGGAGGCTAATGTGGTTGGAGCTGGCAAAGGACAGTAGTGGTGCCCAGAGAGGACCTTGTGCATTTTGGGCTTTTATTATGACAGACAGGAGGCATCGGTTGGCATTGCATAGAGAACTATCTTGATCTGACTTTTCTGGAATTGGTTGTTCTTGTTCCTATGTTGAGGAGGTCAGAGGAAAGGAAGTTAATTTTAGTGGTGGTGACTATGGTAACCCAATAAGTGACAAGAGATCTTTAAATTCTGGATGTTTTTTTAAGAATCAACATATTGTGCTGGGGTGACCCTGACCCAGCTTTTCCTTCTCCCCAACCTGTCTTTGAGCCTGCATGTCATCAGGCCCATGCTGACTGAGCCCTTTCTGCCCTGAGCACCCATGTCAGCACTCTTAAGACTAGTGGCTGTGGGGGCCATGCAGTGACTGCTGGCCTCCCTAAGGAGTGAAGTGGATCCAGCTTCTTTCCTCCTGAAGTCCTAACTGGAGTCAAGCTCTGAGAGGACCTCATGGACCAGGCCCAGTTGGCGACCCCCTGCTCCAGCGCCTGTGACCAGAGGGTCCCAGTAGTGATCCTCACTGAAGGAGCAGCACTGCTGACTGTTTACAGGCATGTTTGATGAGAAACATGGAGGCAAAAGTTGACTTATAGAATTTCTCTGACTCTAGGCAAGACCCATTGAGGAGTGAAAACAGGGGTAAGATGTAACTAAGTGACTGCAATTGGTGCTTATACATCTTTCCTCTGACTGAAAGGGAGATTGAATTTTTATGTCAGCCCCCATCCAAAGTTCAGTTAATATAAATGCAGGTCAGTGGCGAAACTAAATTAAGTGTCAGGAACTTTATGACTAAAATAAGTGGATAGCTTGTTTGCAGATGGGAACACTATTTCAGAAATCTAGAAAGCTGAGAAAGAAAGTGAGAAAACAGGGTGTTTATGTATTGTGGGCCTGAGAGGGAAGAAGCATGAAGTACATGGAGTGCTCACCTGTACCTATAAGCAAGGTATAGGACCCCAGGGAAAGAGTTCTGTTACTTGATTTGCTTGGCAGAGAGCAAGCAGGCAGCTTCTGGACTATTCTTTGGCATTCTCTGGCTTGTGGAAAATAGCTGTTTGTCGGTGAAGGTGGGAAGTCACATAGACTGGTAACCTAAGAAGTGACTGAAGGAACAACCTGTGGCTGTCCAAAGTTGCCTGTTTAGCAGATAGGAAAACTGAGGCAATGCAGGCAGAACACAGTGACTGGGTCCCACAGTAAGTGACTGTGGCTTATGGTCTATGGGTGCCCCTCTCCCCAGCGTGCTCAGGTGTGTGCAACGCGAACAGCGACTTGAGTTACCCCGGGATAACAGTGTTCCTGTCTCTGACCACTGCTTAGGACATCTTGTAGTTGTTCAGTTTGAAAATAGAAGTCTGTGTTCGTGTGGGGAGTGTTCACAATACATAAGAAACACGGCGCTAAATCGTATGAATGCTGTTTTTGGTCTCAAGTCTGTGCAAGAAAACATTGAGGTCTCTGTTCTCTATCCCATGCGCAACTAGAGGAAAAGAACTCAGTGTCACTCGTTTTTTCTTTGTGTTCTGAATTTTCTAGATTTTTATAACAGGGTGGGTTGGGGGACTGGTAGTTATGAAAAGGAAAGAGGAGGTGCCACATGCAGGCCTGCACCCAGGGAAGTCACCTCCTGGACAAGTAGCGAACTAGTGACCGCATCCCTCGGAGTGAATGCAGAACACCTCTGATGTGTGGGGCCCTCCTCTTTTTCAGCGCAAGCTGCCAGCAGCCAGAGCACACCCGCCAAGGCGCCCAGAGTGAGGAGCAGCCCGTCCACGTCCTCCCCGTCATCAGCAGCATGTGCTCCAAGCTGTGCCGGGGACCTGCCTCTGCCTTCCAACACGCCCACCTTCTCTCTGAAAACCCCCCCAGCCAAGGCCCGCTCCCCTGGCGGCCGCAGAGGCTCCGTGTCCTCCGGCTCACCCAAGCCGCCTTCGTCTTTCAAGATGTCCATCAGAAACTGGATGACTCGAACCCCTTCTTCATCCCCGCCCATCACCCCCCCTGCCTCTGAGACCAAGCTCATGTCCCCGAGAAAAGCCCTCATTCCCGTGAGCCTGAAATCCTCCCAGACGGTGGCTGGCTCCGAGTCCAGAAACAGGGTGAAGCGGCGGCTCGATCCCAGCTGTTTGGAGGGCGTGAAGCAGAAGTGCGCGAAGAGCTGCAGCTGTGTGACTGAGCTGGATGACCCGGTGGGGGCGCTGCACTTGGATCTGTGCTGCCTGGCGGGGCCCCAGGAGGACCTGGGCAAGGATTCCCTCGTCCCTCCCAAGGCCAGCCCTATGGAAGCCACCAGCATGAGCCTCTCCGAGCCGCCCTCTCCTGCCAGCCCTTATGCCGCAGAGGGCTGCGGGGCACTCCCTCTCCCCTTGGGGTCCTGTGGAGAAGGGTCTGAAGTGGTGGGCAAAGAGAACAGCTCCCCAGAGAACAAGAACTGGTTACTGGCCATGGCAGCCAAGCGGAAGGCTGAGAATTCATCGCCGCGAAGTCCATCATCCCAGACCCCCGGTGCCAGGCGACAAAGTGGGAAGACTTCCCCGAGCCCGGTAAGTCGCATGGTGGGGGGACCCCACCTGGCTTGATGGGCCGACACCGGTCTCTCCTGAAGCTAGAATGTTGCTTGCTATTCACCCTGGGCCGGCAGGCACACGGCAGCGCTGGAAGGTGACCCGTCTGTCTGCCACGCAGCATAGCTGGCTGTGTGCTGTGCTTTTTGTCTGGCGACCCTATTTATGCCCAGGAATGTCCCTCCCTTCCACCAAGGTCCAGGCTCCTCAGCCCTGGTGCCTGGTTCATGAAAACCGGCCCCATCTTCTAGGATGTCAGTTCAGAAGTACCTTCCCTCTCCCCTGCCAGTCAGAATTCCTCCTCCCCCACATCCTCTGGTAATCACTACATGTAGATTCCTCTCCCTTGAGATAAAGCTCTACCTCATTGAATGTGGCCCATGTGTAGTAAGGTGGATTAGACACAGAGCAATGACATGCAGGCTCCTTGTAGACTTTGAGTCCTGTCCCCCATCCCCCTGCCCCCACCCTCCCCCCCCCCCAATATTTCAGGTAATTTCAAAACCAGATCTTGCTGGCAAAATGGGTTTGTGGAGGGAGAGTCACTCTGAGCATGGGGTCCGGTTAGGGGCTTTCAAGCACCCTGGTGACTGGCAGCAAGTTAGGTGTGGCAGGTCCTGGGGACATCTGCGGCTGTCATAGCTGTTGATCTGAGTTAAGAAGGTGGTAGGACAGTCATGGTCAGCTGTCCCCTGAAGAGGCAGGAAGGGAACCCAGAGACCCAGTCTTGCTTCATGGATGCTTATGTGTGTCATCTGTCCCCCCGCACCGTTGTTATGGAACCTGTCCCACACTTTTAGCAAAAAGAAGCTAGAAATACTTCAAAGGTTACTCAGAATACAAGCTTCCACCAAGACTCTACTGTGGAGCGCTGTGTAAGCTCTGTGGAGTCTTTATTTCTCCTCAGAGGACCACTGTCTCTGCTCTGAGCCCCTAACCACAGTCCCCGTATGCCCCTGCCCTAGTGTTGTAACCTTTATGGTTCCTGTCAGGAGGTTTAAGTGGTAGGTGTGTTCTGTTCCCATGGAAAGGTCATGATCCCCTCAGGCGTGCTGGCCTCTGGGTTTTGCTGTGTTCGGTACACACGGGCTGCAGTGTGGCTGTCAACATGTTTGCATTGAGAGCCAGGGTCTTGTGCTGCGTCCCTTCAGTGACGACTGAAGTGTAGGACCCTTCAGTGACAACCTGCCAAGTTACAGCTGAGTAGGCTCCTCCTCTGACATCTACGCTGTCTCCTCCCAGGTCACCATCACGCCCAGCTCCATGCGGAAAATCTGCACGTACTTTCACAGGAAGTCCCAGGAAGAGTACTGCAGCCCGGAGCAGTCCACAGAGCTATAGCTTCTGACCTGAGTGAGTTGCTTCAACTTCGCTCCGTTAAAACAAGATGGGAAATACAGTGACTTTGTGACTCTGGTCTTTAAGAGCTACACTTTTTTTATTTCAGAGAAAGTCCTGTCTGAAATCCACCTGGTCTGGGTCTCCTATGGTGCTTGCGCACACGTGCATGCCTGCGTGCGTGCGTGTGTGTGGCTTCTCTACACTGACAACATCCCAGCTCACAGAGGCAGAAAACAAGGCTTGGCCCTGTCGCTCAACACTACACAATGAGAAGCTTCTGCCGGAGGCCCGCCGCGAGGCCAGCAGCTGGGAGCCAGGCGCAGATGCCCTGGGCGTTCCTGCCTCAGACACGTATGGCTTCACTTCGAATATATAGTTTTGTCACTACGCCTTTGTGGGGGGAGGGGGTTAAGTGTGTAAAAATGGGATGTTCAGATAAATACATTTATATTGATTCAGTGTTAAAGTACGATCTCTTAAGTTAAAATCATCTTTATTTTAAGATCAGTGAAAAATGTCAACTTTTTGGAGAAAGGAGAACAACAGCGTACAGCTTTGTCTTCTTTCCCCAAAATCTCTTTCCTGTGTGGGGCTTTTACCAAGCTGATCGCCATCACCACCCAGCAGGTCTTCTCCAGGAGGCTGGTTTTGGCCGGTTCCCGGAGGCGCGTGGGTAAGGTTGGTCCTCTCACGCTGCGCTGGGTCTGTCCCAGCTCTCCGGTCTCCGGGCTGTGGCTTTCTTAAAAAGTAAGTTGTAAGGTATTAAGAAAAAGTAATAACCCTTACTGTTTTTACAAAAGAAGATAGCTCTGAATTAAAAATAAATCTTGGCTTTCTTAACGACTTTTGCAGTTTCTTCACATGTATTATAAAGCAGTGCCTTCTGGGGGCGCCTGAGCCAGGCACTCTCTGGCCGGTTAATAGCATGTATGCTGGCCTAGGGTAACCCAGGCTGCCGCTCATCTGGGATGACACATCCCTTCTGTGCTTTTTCTTTGCAACCTCGAGGACCCGCGCTCCTGTGCTGCCCCCAATGGGGTACGCTGCCAGTCATGAGGCGTGACTGCCTTCCCACCCTTGAGGGCTGTGGGCTTTGTTCCCATTTTTGTCATGATTTTAAAATCTGTTCTTTTTTTTTTTTTTTTAAGATTTATTTATTTATTTACTTATTTACTTATTTATACAAGCACTGGGTACAGTCAGAAGCGCAGGAGGGTGAGAGAATTCACCAGAGCCAGAGTGGGGAGCAAAGCAGGCAGAAGGACCAAAGTACACTGCTGAGGGGAGCAGCGGGCGGCAGGAAAGGTTGGCATGCCATGCGGGACCCTCCTCTGGTGGCCGGGGAGCAACCGGGGATGGAACCGGTGCTGCACAGGCTGCGGGCAGCCTCGCAACCCAGCGTTCAACCGCTGTGCCACCGGGGAGGCCCTTTAAAATCTGTTCTTAATGATGATTCTTCACATCCTGGTTTTTAAAACGTCAAGCTGAGACCAGAACTGCATGCACGGTTGCTGAGACCTGGCTGGTCGTGGTTTATCCAAGAAAGAAGAGCAGCGGCAGGCGGGCAGGTGTGGCTCAGCATTAGCTGAGCAGCGGGGCCCTGCCTAGCGCAGTGCTGGGTGTTGCAGGGGAGGAGGGAAGTCTGACCTGCAACCGCGCTTAGGTCTCGCTCCTGCCTTGAGAGTCTGTAGGGGAGTCTTGGGAAAGGAACAGACTGATGGAGTGGCTGGTCTTATTCTTTGCTTCCTGCCTGTCCCCAGACAGTGCTAATAAGTGAAATTGGGGTGACGGTGGCAAGAGCCTTCTGGGTGTGGCTTGCATTGCCTGAAAAACTGGGACTCAAATGAGTGCCGAAGGCCAAATGTAGTGATCATCTGTGCTTGTGTCAGCATCTAACTGGGCACTGATCCTGCGCAATAAAGCCTTTATCGTCTCCGAGGTCTACTCTACACTGTTAAAGCAACCCGGCAGGGGGTTACAGAGTCCAAGACTCCTTCCGTTCATTGAATCAAATGTTTGCCCCCTGGAGTATGATCCAGTTCAAGCTGAGAGGTTTTAATAAAATATTTAGCCAGACCCCAAGCATTTGAGAAGACTGGGACTGCTGGCTGGGGAGGAGGAAAGAGCGGAGGGTGTGTCGTTCTTTTTCTGAACAAGTATCTCCAGCCCAAGTTTCTGCATTTGAATACACTCCAGGCACTTTTGCTGTGATGCTGTATTAAAGTTTCCTTTTGACTATTTCAACACTGGCACTTAATTTACTTCTGTGAGGGTTGACTAATTAGCCTTTTTAAATCGGGGCTGCATGTTTAATGATAAGCCACCATGTGTAGCTGCCCCTGTCGGTGTGGCGGAAGGCGCCTTAGTGGCTTGAAACCTCCCTGAAACTCGGTAGGGAGCATTCTTAAAACCTTTAACCATGTAGTGGGGGTCCATTAGCCCTTGAATTTTGTCTCACTCAGCATTTGGCTGGACATACGCACGCGGGTTCAGTGCGCATACTGAGAAGTGTTACTCCTGTTTGGGGGCTACCTCTCCTAGCCATGGTGTGGTGTTCATCCTCAACAATTGCTGAGTGTTCAGATTCTTTAAATCCAAGTGTCAAGAACTTTAAAAAGAGGCACAGTCAGGTGCACCAAAGCATTCCGGGGGCAGCTAGTAAAGAGCTGGACAGTTCGTTGGAATTTGCAAAACAGAAATGAAACTGTCAAATAGCAGCGAGAGCTATGGAATTAAGCTGTTGATACAATGAAGAGAGTGGGAGAGATCGAAATGATGCCACCCTAAATTTATAATGGACAGGTTGAAGAATGAACTACAGAAAGTTTAGGACATCAAAGAGGTCAAGCCAAACATCCATCTTCCCTGGGCCTCTCTGGGAGATAAAGGAAGCAGCTGGAAGAAGAAATGTGGGGCCTCCCTGGTGGCGCAGCGGTTCAGCACTGGGTTGCGAAGCTGCCTGCAGCCTCTGCAGCACCGGTTCGATCCCTGTCTGCCTGGTGAGGGTCCCACATGGCGTGCAGACCTCTCCTGCCGCCCGCTGCTCCCCTCAGCAGTGTGTTTGGTCAGTCTGCCTGTTTGGCTCTCCACTCTGACTCTGGTGAATTCTGTCACCCTCCGGTGCTTCTGACTGTACCCAGTGCTTGTATAAATAAATAAATCTTTAAAAAAAAAAAGAAGAAGAAGAAGAAGACGAAATGTGGACATGGAAGATGTTTCTGAAAAATCTCACTGAAACAGTTTTTATAAGTACGTTTGTAAACTTCCTTTGGAGACTTAGAAGTTCTAAACTTTTCACATCTGCATTGCTAGCTGAAAAATGGGTATTAAGGATGCTTGACAACATCTCACTGTTAAACCTGACATCTGTGTAAATCATGAAAATTCTATTGCGATTATAGAAGTGAGTTGTGGACAGGAGTTGGTCATGCCATTTGGATAACAGTACTAGCAGCATTTACATCATAGCTGGTGACAAAACGTCACAACTGGTAATGTACAGAAATAAAATGTTCTGGGCAATGGGGAAAAAAAACCTTGGCCATGACCTTCTGGAGGTCACTTGTCAGTTCTGGAGGTCACGTATCAGTTCTGCAGTCAGTGGCTTCTCAGATCCTCCGCAGCAACAACCGCTGCTCTTAGGTCCTTTGTTCTGCTTCCATCAAGCTGCTTTAAGGAAGCCAGAGGTCTCACAGCACCCGCCCAGAGCCAAAGGAGCTGCAGGTGCATAACTGCTGAGTGTTAGAGGGAGGCCGGTGAGGAGGCTGGAGAAAGGTTGAAGCTCTGGGGGCTTCTGCCCTGAATGCCACCCAAGGGCTGTGGTGGGCTCCTCAGCATTCGGTCAGGAGCTGAGCCGCTCCTCTGAGAGGCTTTTCCTGCTTGGGTTTGGGTGGCCCAGGTCACAAAGAAGCCAGCTCCTCCCTAAGTTCTCGGGAGTGACAGAAGCTGAGCATGTGTTCCTCAACTCCGGTTGGAAGCCCCAGGCTGTGCACATGGGTGAGCGTAACTCGTCGTTGTATCTGTTGCCCAGGAGTGCAAACTAGCTTACAGGGCCCATTCTGCTCGCTGCAATGGGGAGGCCTTTCATTCCCAAGCACATGCTCAGAAGTGTGGGCTTGTAGGAAAGAGGCAAGGTAGATTCAGCCCTTAAAAAAATTTACCTGTGCACATCAGCAGCTTGTTGGGATCAGGATGCGTACCCCATCCCAGCAGGTACACACAGGTGAGGGGCTGTATCACAGCTTAGATGTCCACCCCCACTCATCCTCCCACTTGCCTGCTTAGCCAGGGAAGATCTCCAGAATAAATAACCAGGGTCTCTAGTTTGAACTTCAAAGGTTTAATGTCCCATTTATCCCCCATTTGACTGTAATCCCCCTGACTTGCCACATACCCTTCTCTGTTTTGACATCCTAACTGCGTTTGTGTTCAAACCACTGGTGGAATATGATAGCATGTTTTAAAATGCCTTTGGAGGGTATGGGGTTCACCAGTGTGCCACGCCCTGCGGGAGGCACGTGGTTGGCAGAGCTCGCCCTTTCTTTCCGTGCCGGGAGACACCCTGTGGCCCTGGAGCAGGCTAACAGCAGCATTAGAGGGAACCACAAGGGCCGGATTGCTGAGGCCACCGAGCAGCTGTTGCGCATGGAGACACGGACTTCCCACTGGCCTCCGAGAACGCCTTTAGCTTCTAGGGGTAGAACACGTCCTTGTGCATGTATTCTGGTTCCCACAAGTCTTAAAAATAGTTGAAAACGATCTCCAGAGCCTACTGCCTGTGTGTCCTTAAGCAAGTGCCTTAACTTCTCCGAATGCATTTGCTCACCTGTGCTGCAGGCCTATAGTTCTTAGGACAGTGCCTGACATGTGACAGTTAATGTTTACTGAACAACCACTGCTAGCTGGGATTCTCAAGATGGGAGGCAGAGGTTAGCAGCTGTATTTGCTAACAGCAGGAAGGCTGAAGTCAACTTCCCACTCCACGAGAGTGGTGGTCCTTAAAGGCCACCTTCTGGAAAAAGCCTCATCTCCCCAGGTGTTTAGATCCAGGTCTCTGCTACACATGTGGAAATCACTCCACGTGGCCTCAGCCACTGGAGAGACTAACCTTGGGCAACCTGATCCTGGGCAAAGCCAACCCTCCCCTTTCCTGGCCACAGCCACCAACGTTGCACGTTGTCTGAGGGACTCTCCTGGGAGGAAGCTGCTGCTGGCTGCTTTTCAAGCCACATCTGGTCACTTGTTAGGCTAGTGGTTTCGCTGTCCAGGGAGCAGGCAGATAAAAGCACACATCACCGGCCCCCTTGCTCTCCGTAGCTCTGATATTGCAGGATGCAAGATTCCAGCATCAGGTAGAGGAGGTTGTGTAGCTCTAGCATCCTCACTTGATGTGTCCTCCCCAGACTCCTTTTCGTGCATAATACTTGTTGCCGTTGTCACGTGGTTGCCAACATTCCAGCCATGAGTTTTGAAACTTGTGGAAGGACCGACACTGAGGTTTCAGCTGACCTCTGGGCACCGAATTATGCTGCAGTCCTTTTCAGACCCTGCTCTCCTGTTCGTGGGTACGTAGCCAGTGTGGCCTTCTCTCACAAGGAGCTGGCATCACACCTCTGCTCGGCCAGCCCCACCCTGCCGCCCACGTGGGCTGATGCCAAAGTTACTAATTCAAGCAAAGATAGCAAGGGCTTCGTTAACAGCCTTACTTTTCAGGGCCTAAAAGTCATGCAGGTGAGCCCTTCCCTCTAGCTAGCACTATTTACCAGACATGTTACTGAGATAACCAATTACCAGTAAGCCACATGGCCTCACAGTGTTACCTGAAGTTAGCACATGCTGCTGGCTGCGTCACTGGGTGGCTGTCCAGCTCCGCTCTAACTAGTTTCTCTTCCGCCATTTCCCCATCATCTACAGTACAATTTTCTAAGAATGATTTGAAAAGAAGATAATTACACTAAGTGTGACTGAAAGTTCAAAGCCAGTGAACATGGTACATCTATGCTGGAGTGGCCTTCGGCCCACCAGTTAATGTCGGCTTGGAAATTTCTGCTTCCTCGGAAGCCTCATTGGGTGCACATAGCGTTGCATGGGAGG